GCACCGAACACGGAGACGAGACTCCACGAGATCCTTTGCGGGCGCGGACGGTCGTTCACAAGTGTAAATCGCCTGTCTTGAGGCCCAGGCTGTCCTTCTGGAAACAGCTTGCCAAATAGTCTCAGGTTACTGGCTATGCATGACGGATTAATCCAGCGTCTTGAAAGTGGAGCGCCACATGGTTTGTTTGATCAGGAACCAGGGAACTAGGTACCTACTTCGTATGTATGAAGAGGGTAGGCTTGGCAGGCCAGCAAACCAGGCGAGCTTCCACAACCATCTCAACACCAGAAAGGGCAAATCTCCTGGATCCCTACCTCTCAGCTCCTATTCGTGGCCTCTTGCCAGCTGGAGACGTTTCACCCCCACCACCCCTGGATTGCCTTCTTGGACTAACCCCCCCTTGCCCTACCCATCCTATCAAGAGGAAACGGCTTCGTTTCCGTCCAAGTGGTACGTTACGGGTGCGGTGCTGCGAAGTAAGACCGCGTGGGAATTGATCTCCATCCCATATTGTTCTCGCGCCAGCCTCGGTCGAACCTTGAGCAGCCACCACTTGTGTTTCCATGCTGTGCATGCGCAGTCTGGGAAATCTCTCCCGGCTTCCGCGAACACGGACGATCTTATTTCGGGTGAACCTGCGCCATTGCAACAGGCAATCTCTTTCATTGCTTGTACGCCTAGGTATTACCAAGACGGGAGACGTGCTGGATCCCCAGCCGAGAGCGTCCAGTCCGGTTAGGTCAGGCCGCACGTCCCGTTGCCGTCCAATTTTTTGGGCTACCATCGTACAAGATCTACATTTTGTGTGCCAAACACAGCGGCGTCGCCGACCTGCCTGAACTGAGCGGTGACGGCTCATGGCAGAAGGCAGGTTGTCGCCCAGCGTTTTACCCCACCAACACAGCTCACCGGTCGATCGAAAGAGGAGCAATGGTCGGAGAAATTACCCCATGCCAGCTCAGACACAATGCTTGAGACACCAGCAGAGGAGCAATGATGAAGACCGTGTCGATTGCAGGCGGTGAGCGCCCTACTCTGTAAGTACCCGGTTTTCTTGCTCGAGCCCGACGACTGTGAAGCGAGAACAAGTGGGGGATCTGTCAGATGTGTGGATGTGCAAACCGGGGGCTCCCACACGTGGGGCATCACAGGGAGGCAGTGGGAGGAAAGCCGAAGAGAAGAGTGAAGCGGCAAGAGGCCATCCAGGCCAATGGTTCGTATGTATTGTGGTATTGCTGCTTCCCTGGCTGGCTCGTTACGGCCCTTCTCTGCCACGACCAATCCACTCGTTGCGAGGACGAATGATTCCCCCACAGTCATCAATTGCACACATCCAGACGTATGATGACGAAGGCTATGGCTAGAGTGCCCTGATAACCCGATATTGCCGTCGGTCTGTTGGCGCACCAGACCACTGAGGCGCGGTCTGACTTGCAGGACACCTCTTCCGAGACAGCGTCATGTGCCGATGAAATCCGCTCCTGAGGCTTGACGTGGATGGATGGGGTGGGATGATGATGCGACAGGCCCTGCGACTTGAAGCTGATACGCTAATAATACTTGCAAAAGGAAGTGTGGGAAGCAGTCCGATGCCTACCTTCTTGGCTATATGGATTCCTACGCATCTTGCTAGATGCGACTACGTCGATAGGATCTGTCATATTGACTCAGGTTCGCAGATGCACATCCCTCGAAGATCCCGAGATGAACAACAACGGCAGCCCGGCGCTTACAACTCCGGCCTGTGCTCATGGCTTCGCATCATCATCTATCACAGACCAGCAACTAATCTGGATGTTCCACGGTCAAGCCCACTCATGATCTGGCCGTAGCTCCGCCAGCGGGCGATGTGTGAAATGATATGCCTGTCGCATCAGCCATCCCAATGATATGATACGCATTCACAAATAAAGACCAACACTAGGGTAGGTGCAGCGGGAAAGCCCAGTCAACAACATGTGCACAAGAGGCTTCTCGTGTGCCTGCGTTTCGGCTGTGCAGTTTTCGGCATGCCGAAGTACATCATGTCTGTACGCATGCGCTCATATCTACAGTCCTGGCGCGCGCTTCCGTGCCATTGTGCAGGTAATGGGCCAGAGGAGGTAGGGTTGGGAAGCGCCGATCGCGACAGCAAAACACACCGTGCGAGACTCGGCCTTGCGCTGACCGGGTTCCTGTTCTCTGCAAACAGCGCGAGACATTGCACACCGGCAGCGCAATATTTGACCACACCAAAAGGTGCACAGCTTGCAATCCGGAAGCTGTCGAACAGATCTAGGCAACCTGGACCTATGAGAGACGTCTTTGTTGTCGCTTTGCTCACCGGTCGGTCCCCTGCCCAGAAGCAGCCAATATGGTCTTGAGGAAGCCATGTGGGCGGTGTACAAGCAGGGCGATGCAAGAAAAAAGACCCTTGCGAGGCCCTCGCACCGGGGTTTGTCGGGTGGCAGCACCCTTGCAAGAGGAGAGCCTGGGTTTGTGGGCTTGTCAAGTCAAACTGGCTTCCAGAACGATGTGCTTCCAGATGATTTGTTCGTTCTCCAACAGCAACAACAGCAACAACAACAACAAGGGCCTGTCAGCTGCAACCCCAAGTCATGCCCCTTCTGCGGACGACGGGAATAGCCATCACTGCCCGGACGGAACGTGGGTTGCAACCTGTCATGTCATCCGCCGTCGCTCGCTACGGCACGACCCAGAGTCTCAATCTCGGAACATGGCCATGGTCATGTGTGGCAGCTGTTTCTCCATCCTCTGCCAACGCCATCCTGCTTTTGCCTGCTTTGCCTGTTTGTTGCCTGGCCTGGCCTGCCTACCAACATGGATACACCGCCTCCTGGACGAGCCGCCGGTCAGCCTTTCTTTACTTGTACTCCAGCGTCACTCGGCTGCGCGCTCTGATATCATATTTGCTCGGCGGCGATCCACAATTTTGGCGTGATGAGCTCCGCGTAGCACTGCGGCTCGCAGCAAGATTTTGACCGCAGATGAAGCCCAACTAACTACGAGGGAGAAGGCGTCGTGCGTCTGCAGCCCGTGGCATCCCATCCATCCTTATCCACTCTGTCGATTACTCCACCTCAATCTACTATCTTCCTGGGTACATAATTATAGATGTAAGTACATACATACCTACAGTCATGCGTACAGTCAGGAACACACATGCGTGCCGTCGTGTGCGGGTGTGTGATTAGAAGGGAATAACTGTGCCCTGCTGCATTGCAAAACCGGTCGTGATGAAGAGATACCAACCCTGTATTTGCATCGCCGCCGCCACGACAAGAGGGGAAAGAGGAGGAGGAGGAAGAAGTACGATGTAAGCCCTGGCCTAACAAGTGCCGGCGTTCCTTTGCCCAGAATAGGTAGACCTAGGCAAGGTTGGTGGCTCGCCTGCCAGCTCGCCGCCAGTGGGTACCTCCCTCCTTGCCTACCTTCGTAAGGCCGAATCCAAAACGATTGTCCAGGCGGTGGGTTCTTTGTATCATGATCCAAGCTCGCGGGTCTCTCTCCCCTTTTTTTTTTGGCTCCTCCGCCCCCCGGTTTGCATCATTTCCCTCTGTGCTTCCCTGGCCGACTGGCTTCTCCGTCCGTCGTTTCCGGCGCGCGTGTCGATCTCACAGCATGACGACCCGACAGATGCACCGCCGCCGCGATGTCTCCAAAAAGTCGGGCAGTCGACTTCATTTGGGATCTGACCACTCTTACCCACCCCCCTCCGAGGGTGTTTGCCGCAGACAAACAGGACGTTGGCATGGCTATTTTCGCGCTGGCGATGGGCTTCAACGTGTCCTCCGCCCATGCATGGAAGACGTCGAATGCAGCAACCCATGATCTAAGACGGAGCCCCCCTCTCTGTCCCCTCTCCCCTCATAAGGCAGGCCTTGCGTAGTACCAGCCCTTCCAGGGCTGACAGCTCATTGGGGAAGCGCAGAGGACAGGGAAAGTGTCCGAGTGACCCTAGAGGTACTTTAGCTCCCCGGGTCTTTGGGTAGCTTTTTAAGACCGGCATGGATCTGGCTATGGACAGGGGGAGAAAAGGGTCCCACTCACATCCACAAACCTACCTCACACTTCATACCTAGCAACGGTCCTGGTCCCGGCCCTGGTCCCAAGTCCCCAAGTCCCAAAAGTCTAGTTCCCTGCCTCTACTTGTACAAGTAAAGCCATCCTTGCTGTCCCTGGTGCGCACTTGTACTTGTAGCAGGTACCGTGCAAGGGTGAGAGGATGGGCTGGTCGACCGTCGGGGCCGCGAGCCACTGGCTTGGTCCCAGTTGCGGAACCCCATGGCCTTCCATACCCGGGGATCCCATCATGACTCCCATCACACACTGGCACTACTCTCGCGAAAACCTGGCTTGCCAGCTTTGCTACCCGAATCCACCTTTCCACCTGGCGGCGAGGATCTGCTCTGTGTCGTCGCCTTCGTGTTCAAAGTCCCATCCTGTCACCGCCGTTTCGTGTGCTCCCCTTTTATAAGACCATGAATCCACCCCGTCCAGTCCTCCCCAAGGTCCGTTGTCCAGATGGCTTCTACGGAATCTTCTCCAGCTCCATTTCTTCGTATCACCCTGGTAGACAAACATTTGCCGTCTCTTGCCCACGGTCATATTTCTTCTTTTGACTCCCCTCCCTCGTGACCACATACCCTCTTCGAGATCCTTCAAATCCACCACGTTGTCCACCTGTAACCCGCCGTGAAACCGTACTCATTCTTAAACCTCAATATTCTTTACCAAAGTTCACCCTACGTATCATACCCACCAGGCGTAGCCTCTCGCGACATCGGGGAAAAAAGGGGACTAAGACGTCACTATTCTCAAAAAGTTTGTTTTAGATCACGGCATATAACTCTGTGCTCCTTCGTATCGGACACCACGCTCTCCAAGAATCGGCGGTGTTCTATCTGGAGAGCCACCGGAGAGTTGCCTGCATGCAACGTCCTTGACACTATTGAGCCTTTGAAAGTCGTGGTTCAGGCCGGAGACAGTCAGCAATCATGAGGAGGCAGAACTACTTGGCCAGCGCTTCGCGTCCTGTCGAGATGGCGCCAATCCCACCTTTCCCCAAGAAACAGATGCTGGTTCTATGTAGGTCCATGATCCCCGACATTCACAGCCCCTGGGGTCGTGGGAGTGGCCTTGGTGACGAGTGAGTGCAGCGGACTCTGCTGACCGGCATCACAGCACTCTGCAGGATATGTGAGCCCATCGCATTCATGGGCATCTTTCCCTACATCTACTACATGGTGCAGGATTTCCACATCACCGAGGACAAGTCAAAGATCTCCATGTACGCAGGCATGGTCACGTCCGCCTTCACCTTCGCCGAGTTCTGCACCGGCATCTTCTGGGGCAGGCTCAGCGACAGGATCGGACGCAAGCCTGTCTTGCTCACCGGGCTCCTTGGCACCGCGCTGAGTGTTCTGCTGTTCGGCTTCGCGCCGAGCCTCCCAGTCGCTCTGTTCGCGAGGGCTCTCGGCGGCCTCTTGAACGGAAACGTGGGCGTGCTGCAGACCACGGTCGCAGAGATCGTCACCGTCAAGGAGCACCAACCCCGAGCCTACACGATCATGCCGCTCGTGTGGAACGTTGGGTCCATCGTCGGACCGGCCATCGGCGGCGCGCTCGCCTCGCCGTGCAAATATTACCCCAGCATCTTCCCGCCTGGCACGATCTGGGAGCGATTCCCGTACCTGCTGCCCAACCTCTTCAGCGCCGCGGCCGTGTTCTTTGGACTCTTGGTCGGGCTCCTGTTTCTGGAGGAGACGCACGCCGAGAAGAAGAAGCAGCGAGACCGAGGCGTCGAGCTGGGCAACTACCTCCTCTCGTACGTCTCCTGGAAGCCCTTTGCCTCGTCGCCCGAGTCCAAGAAGTGCGCCGAAGCGCAGCCGCTTCTCGACTCTGAAGAGCAGCTGCCCGGCTACTGCACGACGGAAAGCTCTCCACAGCTGTCTTCGACAACGCAGGTACCCGAGCTCGGCGAGCCTCTGGACCTGACGGCACCCAGACCGTCGGTGGCCAGCCAGTCTAGGTCCACGTCCATGTTCAACAAGCAGATCATCCTCATCATTGTGACCTACGGTATTCTTGCTTTGTGAGCTCGCACGCCCATCATGAAATCCACGCTCCGCTTGCTAACTCTGTTTTGTCTAGCCACACCATGACCTTTGACCAGTTGTTTCCCGTCTTCCTCAGCACAGAGCCTCCCAAGTCTGGTCGGTCGATCAGCTCGCCGATCAAGTTCGTCGGCGGTTTCGGGTACGATACGCAGACGATCGGCGTCATCCTGGCCGTGCAGGGCGTGTACTCGATGTTTTCGAACTACGTGCTCTTCCCGGCAGCGACGAGGCGGTTGGGCAACCTCCGTCTCTTCCAGCTCATCTCGGCCTTTTACGTCTTCCTCTACCTCGTGACGCCCTATCTGGTCCTCCTGCCCGAGAACCTTCGCATGGGCGGCATCTACGCCATCATCGTCTGGAAGTGCACCTTCTCGACCCTGGCCTACCCCAGCAACGCCATTATCCTCAACACCTCGGTGTCCTCTCGGCTGGTCCTGGGCACGATCAACGGCTGGGCCGCATCCGCGGCCAGCCTCTGCCGAGCCTTCGGACCCATGATATCGGGGTTCTTGTACGCGACCGGCCTAGAGACGGGATACTCGGGGCTCTCGTGGTGGATGGCCGGTCTCGTCACGGTCGGCGGCGCGTTCCTCAGCATGCAGCTGAAGGAGCCCAACGGGAACCTGGACGAGAAGATCAAGGACATCGAGGCGGTCCCCGCCGGGCCGCGCCTCCTGAATGAGGGTGCTTGACAGACATATAGATGGGAAGTCGGGAAGCGACGGGGGGGACTTTGGAGGGCTTGCGGCCGGTTTACGACTATGACGACTTGATTAACGAACGACCATTTTGCCATCCCGACGCGAGACGCGGGACATTGCTATTTTCCGTAACTCTGTATTCCTTGTTTTTTTTTCTTGGCTTGAGGATATCCTTTTCGGGAATTGTCTCACATTGCTTCAGCAAGAATGGATTGTTTATTTCCTTCTTCCTTTTTCCGGGTGCGATTTGGACAATGCTTTTATTTTTTTTCAGCTGGGCGCTTTGGAGGTGTGCGTTGGGATGTGGCGACGCGCACACAAGCAACAACCACACACACAACACACGAGAAACATAAAGATGGATTAGAAAGGCATAACTCTTCAGAGAGCACACACACGCGGGATATTTGATACAGGGCGAAATACAACGGACCAAAAAAAAAAAGCACACAAAAAAAAGCAAGGATAATTGAGAGGGGTGGGCACCAGGATACTGGACGGCTGTCTTGTATCCCGGGCCGCCATTTCTCAACTGTTACTAGACGCCAGGCAAGACTGGGAAGATCTGTTTATTTTTTATTTTTTTATTTTTTTTTTACTACGCCGTTCGTTTGGGAATTTTAGAGACGGGCGAACTCTTGCTCGGGATTTTCTGGGACATGGCTACACGGGCATGAAAGCATGGAGAGGCGAAAGATACCACGGGGCGAATTGATTTGTTAAAGCACAGGGAGTTGGAGATCGCAGTCGCAGGCTCACACCCCGGTCTGTCATTTTTTTCTTTCTTTTTTGGAGTTTCTATCATTTTATTTCCTTACTGAATATCAATTGATTTCCCTCTCGACGATCCAGGGTCCGTGGGTTATGCAAACTACCTAGTACGTGTCGCTCGCTGATGTGTTGTTGGTTGTTTGCTTCCCAACAGTCAGTCAGCTGGACGGGGATGGGAAGGCTGTGTCCAAGGGCACACACATCACACCAACACTCTGACTATCCGATCTGCATCTCGTTTGCTCTCCTTGCAAGGGGCCTCGTAGGCAGTGACGTCCTAGACGGTGCAGGGATCGCTCGCGAAACAATCTCGTTATCATCCGCTCCCCCTCCGTGATCACCGAGAAGAGAGGGCGTCGTCACAATCGAGCTTGGCCGAATCGAGAACATGGCACATTGCATCACATGGCAAGCGAGGCAGGAAGCTTCATCGGGCACCCAGCCCAGCCCAGCGATTAGTGCCATGTACCTATTTAGCACACGAGATTTGCTGCGGAAAGCGAAGGAGATTTGTCCAGACGGGACGGCATGTGTGGAGATTTGGGGTTCCGGATTCGATCGGGATGCCGTCCATCCCATCCAAGCAACGCCATCCCCGAGACACACCCAAGGCAAGGCAACCAACCTAATGTACCTACTTGTAGGCATTCATTCTATTCTCAGCAGCTGCCTCCCCCATATGCCTCACCCATGCCGAGATAGAACCCATGGACGAAGAAAGATGACTGGATTCCGTTGTGCATCGCAATGCCACCTGGTCTAGGGAGAGTGTAGATAGACATGCAAGCCGTCGTAATCAAGATAACAGCACGACGCCAACAGCAGCATCCCTGCCAGTTAGTTGCCTGCTGAGCAAGCAAAAGGCGCACGCGGTAACACCCCATCCATGCCATGCCTCATCTCCCTGGGACCTCCCTTGTCAGGCTCACTCAGGCGTCGGCAGTGACATTCGACGTGCTTGGAGATGGATGGACGCCCGCAGCTAGCAAGCCTCACCTGCAATGCAATAACAGCTTACCTTGCCTGACCGGCCTACACCGCTTCACAGTCTCTGGGAGCAATCTTACAGACTCGCTCCTCTCCCGTCACTCCTTTTTGGCGATAGGCAGCATGTCTCGTAAAAACCCAGTCCCCTGCATGGGCTAGAACCCGAGCTTTGGTCACGAGGGGGACGGGTCGAAGCTCCATTCCTTGCTGCCCTAGCCAGTTCTTCTCTCTCCCTCTTCCTCTTTCTCCTTCTCTCTCTCTCCCTCTCCCTCTCCCTCTCTCTTTTCTTTTCCACGGGTTGGAGCGGAGAGAAGTGGCAAGTGGTTTCTGTTTCCATCTGACGCCCGTTGACTGTTCTCATTAGCTACGAAGGTAGACGACCAAAACATGGGAAACAGAGTTATTAGCCAGGTTGGGATGCACTTTGTGTCTTCTTCCACTTGATGACAAGCTTACTGTACTTTACCTACTTTAAGCACTCTACCTAAGGCTTAGGTATCCTATTCCGACCTCTAGTGGTAGGCTTTCCCCTTAGTGGGCCAATGGGGACTGTGGGGGGCTTGGTTAGCGTGCTGGTTGTTGGTTCCTTCAACGCCTCTGTCTCGAACTCGGGCGAATCAGCAGCGAGACAATGGGCGGTTTGTCCCCTCAACCCCTCCAGAGAGGGCTTGATACTCGACCCTCGATGCTCGATATTCCGGGACAATGCCCTTATCGGTCTTTTTTTTGGGGACCAGAACCAGACTGCTGGGAATCGGTAGGTACTCTCTCACCCCGCCCTTCTCTCTCCATCTCTCCATCCCCGACGCCGACTTGATTGTGTGTGTGTGTTTTCTCTCTCCAGCCTTTGTTTGCTTGCTTGGACTTCTTCGGCCCAAACAAGAGGTCAAAGGGTGGGTGTGTTTGTGCATCGCGTGCAGTGTTGGATCAAACCGAGCCTGGCTCATCAGCCACAGCATAGGGTACAGTGTACCCTCCTTCTGTACGCGCTGCTGACTCCTGCCACCACACCCCCACCCTCCCTCCCTCACGCATGCATCCATCCAATCCGGCCTGCCAAGGTTGCTTTATCCAAAGCCCGCCTTCTCTCTATCTCTCTTTCTCCTCTCCCGCAGGGCGAGGCTACGGTTTGTCAACGACCCTGCACCCACCTGCAGCGGCTCGACCTGCACCGGATCGCATCCGGGGATCCAGCCAGACCAAGCATCCTCACCTCCGCCCTTGGGCCCTTGACTCGTTGGCGCGCGTGCAATACCTCCTCGCGCTTCTGCAAGCTAGATTCTCCCAATTGACCTCCTCGGGGCCTGAAACTAAATTGTCTCGGGACGTCTTCGCCTTGTCGTGATCTTCCTCCTGCCGCATTCCTCTGCTATCGCGCGCGCCTCCTTGATCCAGAAAGCCATCTCTGCGGCCACAGACAGGCCTTGTTGTCCGCGCGGTTCCCTCTAGCTACGGGCAGCGAATCGGTTTGCGCCTTGGTCTTTGCAAACCCGCGCGCGCGCCGCAGGATATCGCACACGTTTGGCCAACGATATAGACCGAGAGAGCCATGGCCCTGGCAGCTTCCGGAAGGATAAGCTAGCAGAGAGCCCCCGCGCAGTCGCGTTCTTGCGAAACGGGCGACCAATAGCCGATGCGACATCCAAGCTGTTGACGCGGTCGTCCTTGGGCTCAGTCTCCTACAGCCTCGACCCTGCTGGGCCGTGGAAGGCCCCCTCCCCCCTCCCGGCGCGGAGTACCCTTTTCGTTCAGAGACGCCATGCCGATCGACTCGCCGCCCACGTCCAAGTCCCATGCGGCCAAGCGACAGCGCCAAGCGTCGCCCGACCGGGGCGACTCGCCGCCGTCTATCGCTTCGGCCGCCGGCGGAGGACCCTCCCCGGCCAGCGACTCGGCCGCCCACGACGGAGGGAAGGTCGGCCAGAGCAGCAACTTCCGCAGCGTCAGCGCCTGCACGCGCTGTCGCCACCGCAAAAACCGCTGCGACCAGCGGCTGCCGAGCTGCGCGAGCTGCGAAAAGGCTGGAGTCCCGTGCATTGGCTACGATCCCATCACCAAGAAGGAGATCCCACGGAGGTAAGACTGCGTTTGCTTTTCTTCTGCTGCCGTGGAACTTGGTTTTCCCGCTTGTTTTCAAAAAGAGCAGCACCTATCTCGCGGAGAAGAGTGGCAAAAGTGTTATATATAATAAGGGCATCTGTGATATTGACTGTCCCGCTCGCAGCTATGTTTTCTACCTCGAGTCACGTATCGAACAGCTCGAGGGCCTCTTAGCCGCCAATAACATCCCTTTCCCTCCAGCCGCCGACCTTGGCTATTGTTCCAAGCCAGGGCAGGATCCTCAGGCCCTCAAGTCGCCGACCGATGCGCGGTCCGCGCCAAAGGATGTTCTCGAGGCTGCTGCGCGCCCTCAGCAGCAACACGACGAAGAGGACGAGACCGGTCGCGTAAAGACCTTGGCTTCCAGAACCGGAATGTCGAGAGTTCCCGAAGCCTCGAATCCTCGCTATCTGGGGTCGACCACCGGCATCTCATTTGCCAAAGTCGTCCTTGCTGCTGTTCAGTCCTCGGTCTCAGATCAGAGATCACTATCCGACAAGGGCGGCATCAAACCTTACAAACCTCCCATGGGTCTCGGCGGGACCTCGATGAGAGATTCTTTCTTTGGTCTGCACACGAAACCCACGATACATCCGGCGGCGTTCCCCGACAAGCGACTCGCCCTGAAGCTCGTTAACTTGTATTTCGAGCATGCCAACCCCCAGATCCCGGTTCTTCACAAGCACATTTTCATGCGCATGTTTGAGCAAGCGTACGCCAGCGAAGGGCGGGTGCGCGGGGCCAAGGAGCTGTATATGCTCAATATGGTCTTTGCTATCGGCAGTGGCATATTTGTGGGCGATGCCGCCAAGCATGCTACGGGAGAAGCGCCGGGTACGCGGTACTATCAGCCTGAAGAGTATCACGCCAGTGCCATCGTCCATCTCGAGGCCTGCCTGAACAACAGTGGTGGCGGAGTTGAAGAGCTGCAGGCTGTCCTGCTGCTGGCCAATTTTGCACTCATTAAGCCGGTGCCGCCTGGCCTATGGTAGGTGCTCAAGTAATTAGGAAAACGCTCACCTGTTCTGGCTAATCGATCTTCAGGTACATTATCGGTGTTGCTGTCAGGCTAGCCATCGACCTCGGGCTTCACTATGAGGATGGCAAGGACCTCGATGCCGGCCTTCACGAGGTACTTCCAGAGGCGAAAGATCATTTCCTTCGCGAACGAGGGCGACGGGAATACGTTCGAGACCTTAGACGCCGCCTCTGGTGGTGCACCTACTCCTTGGACCGGCTCGTGAGCGTCTGCGTTGGGCGCCCTCTCGGCTTCTCGGATCTCGTCATGACCACCGAGTTCCCCTCCCTCTTGGAGGACCACTACATCACGACTACAGGCTTTACGAAGAGTATGCAGCCGCCATTGGAACCAACCTACAAGCTAGTTGCACATCATTATTTCCGCCTCCGGCTGCTTCAATCCGAGATCTTGCAGGTCCTGCAGTATCAGCAAGCGCAGATTGCTCGGGCCAATGGAAGGAACCGGCAGGACCATTTCCTGCACCCAAAGCTGCCTTCGCCTTTCCTCTCCAAGTTTGACTCTTTTCGTTCATGGCGGGTGGACATTGACAAAAGATTGTGGAAATGGAAACTCGCGGCCCCCTCAAAGCAGGAGACCGGCGTCGCTTTCTCAGTCGAGTTCTTAGACCTGAACTATTGGCAGGCCATCATCCTTCTGTACCGGCAAAGCCTGAGCGTTCCGGCCGTTTTCGAGGGCGAGTACAACACGTCTACCGAGTTTAACAGCCCGTCTGTGCACAGTATTGAGCCGTTGGAGGACGAGGACCGGGTGTATCTCAAGGTTGCCGAGGCCGGTCAGAAGATCCTTCGTCTCTACAGACAGCAGCACCTTTTAGGGCTTGTCAACTACACCTACTTTGCGACACACCAAATCTTCACCGCCGGCATCTCGTATCTCTATGCCATCTGGCACTCGCCCGTGGTACGGAGCCGACTCGTAAGTCATCATGTGTCCCTTTCCGGCTGGTAGGGATTCCGGGCTCTCTGACTTTGCTAATCCCATCCCACCTGCAGACAATGGACGAGGTGGACTTCACTGTCCTCGCAGCCATCTCGGTGTTCAACGACTTTATCGAAAGATGTCCGCCCGCAGAGGCCTGCAAGGACGCCTTTGACCGCACCGCCAAGGCCACCATCAAGATGGCCAATGCCACGGGCGGCTTTGGCCCCCTGGGCGTCGAGCAACAACAACAACAACAACAACAACAACAACAGCAGCATGACTTTCCCCGCCAGGCTGGCGACTCGTCATCAAACGTGTCGTATCCCCCCCATCCCCGACACCACCGTCGCAAATCCGACCACTCCTCCCACCGCGCGAGCCTCTCGACGACGGCGTCGGACGCCTTCTCGGCGGCGACGAGCGCCGCGCCGTCGTCCCAGGTGTCCTCCTCCATCCCGCACCACGCCACCCAGTACCGCGTGCTCAAGTCCGACCCCGACCTCTCCTACCCTACCACCATGCTGCGAAACCCCGCAGCGCCTCCCCCAGCAGCACCGCTCAGCAACGCGAGCTCCTCCGAAGTCGCCGTGACGCCAGAGGGCCTATCGTCGGCGTCGATGCCGATGAAGCCCTCCCCCCAGCTGGGGATGCAGCTTCACGGCATGCCCCCCGCCAGCGGGCCCCAGATGACGGGCAGCTCGCCCCTGACGACCCAGGCCGTCGCCACGGCGAGTTACCTCTCTCAACAGCAGCAGCAGCAGCAAGCGCCCATGTTCGCCCCCAACGCCGCCGGAGGCATGGTGGACCCGGGGGCGGCGGCGGCAGCGGCGGCGGCCCTCACCTTTGCAGACTTCCAGGGCATGGACTGGCTGCAGGGGTTCGGCATGCCCGGCGGCGGTGGCCTGCCCGGCAACGGCAGTGGCGGCGGCGGCGACGGGATGCTCCTCGACGCGCCGCCCATGGACTTTGGCCTGGGCCTGGGCTGGGAGGGCACGCACCACGACTTTAGCGAGGGCCAGAACCTCGACATCTTTGACGGCTACTTCTTTGGCGGGCAGCAGTCCGGCGCCGCCGGTGCCGCCGGCGAAGGCGGAGGGGGCATGGAGGGCATGTGAGAGGATGAGTGTGTGCCACTGGAACCCGGACGGGCGGACGGACGGACGCCGTTTTTGTATCGCCCAAGCTTCCGAAGCTATCTTGACAGTATATAGCGAGCCATTTTTTATCAGAGGAATGGATAATCATGACAACAACTCTCAAGTTGACGAGTGCAAACTTGGAAGCCAGGCGACTGCTCAGGCTGGGACAAAAATGGTCAAAGGCTGTAGAGTACAGACTGCTTGGTGTTGAAGGTCACAAAGTTATGCCCACAGATTGTAGGCATTCGAGGCTTTGGGGTGAATCACTGTGGTCCTTCACTTCTTGATCATCGGCTGTATTGTCTGGCAAACCATTGCCACTAGTTGTAGAGACTACAGAATTTCAAACACAGCAGGATGAAGAGGCCAAAATAGGATAATAACCCTCCTGGGATTTGCTAAATCATGCTCGCCATATAAAAGTATGTGCCACTCCTCAAGAAAACAAGTATTATGCCCTTACAGGACAGCCCGAGAATAGGCCTTTCGGTGGGCGCAGGCGCAAAACAACAGAGTATCATATGTTGCCGACCAAGTAATGGCTCCCACGGGCAATCAGACTGTTCGCTTCCCACCCCTTCAGAAATATTTTGACAGCCACTGGAGGAGGATACTGAAAAGGACAGCCAGGCTACTGACAATCATCCGAACCACCCCGTCGAAGAAGGATGCAAGGGGGCCTGCATTAGTCAGAGGTGTATCGTAGAGGTCTTGGCGACTCTTGACCATGTAGAACCATGGGCCGACGTTGTCAGGAATCTTCGAAGGTGTTTTCTTGTCTGGAGAGGTTGATAGTCTCTTCTTGCTTGAGGGGGTTGATGGTCGCCTCTTTTTTGGAGAGGTTGGTGGTGTTTTCTTGCCTGGAGAGGGTGATGATCTCTTCCTGTCTGGAGAGGTCGGTGGTGCCTCTGATGACATGGGGCGCCGGTCGATGACTTTGATTAGAGCGAAAGGACCTTTCAGGTCAGGATCCCACGTCGGAGCGATGTATTCTTCGTCTACATGGCGACTTGTGGTATGCCCATTGGTCATAATCTTCGGGTTTCTTCTGCCCTTTCTGCTTGGGGGAGAGATGGCAACAATTCTGTTGAGCTTGGTTGACCCAATGGTTGGCAATCGATCACACAAAGTCTTGAAAGTAGCTAATATGGAATTAGAGCCCGCGCGGTCAATCCTTGGGGGTACCCTCGGCGATCGTCCTGACCTGGAAAGAAAGGTGATGAGACTTACAGACTTGGTCTGGGGCAAAGGAGCTGCCAGTGAAATTGTACGATTGCAGCTGAACGCGGACCAGTTCATACTTGGTAATCCATTGGGTCGACCGGGGAATTATCAGAGAGAATGGACCCGCGATCCGACGTGAATATGTGACGTATAACTCGTTGTCTTCAGAGGCAAAGACTATGTACATAATGTGTCAAGAGCTGCCTCAGCCTGGGGATGCGGGTGGCTATTCACTCACCATACTTTACTTTGAGGCTCTCCGTGGGACCGAGAATGATCCGTTGCAAGAGAAATAGGTGATATATGGCCTTGACTGCCTGCACCTTTCCCGAGAGCCAGAACCGGAATCGCCCAGTGTTGCTCGGTCGGATGCTGAAGAAAGGGTGCAGGAACGAGGCGTCTGGAAGATAGGTTTGTCTCATTATCGCCTGGATGTCCTCTGGGTCACAGGCCTCGAGATATATGAGTCGACGGACAACCTCGTTTACTAAGGATGACACAATCATGGTCAGCATGGACCCGGCGGTCAAAGTCGAGGAAGGTTGTCTAGAGGTCGTCCTCTAGGACTCACAGTGGGTATCGCCATCTGGAGGCGCCTTTGATGTCTGGCCATTCCACTTGATTTGGGGGCCGTATGAGACTCCGGAAAGACCAGGCATGCCGGCGGATGCCTCTTTGGCCTTCCGGAGGTGGAGCGAGACAGCAGAGAGAAGCATGCTGGGCTGGCCAGATCGGATCTGGATTCGGCACCGTCAAATGCTGGGTTCGACCGACAATGCCGTGAATGGCAGGCGTCTGGATCGTTGTCTGTATCTGTGGGCCAGGCAATGAGCATGAAGAGGAGGGAAATGCGGTGATGGAGATGAATGATCAGTAACATGGAAGGCCTCGACTCGTTGCAACAGCAATCAATCACTTATATTGACTTGGACATGACGAGGCCCCTTCCGCCTTCCTCGACCGGTTTTACCCAGGAGAGACATGCAGTCGCCGCCCGCCGGGGAACTTACTTCTGTTACTCCCCGCGATGGCAGTCCTTTACACGAGTTGTCTCTCTTTCCACTTTCACAAACTGGTGCTGGCTCCCTTGTGAAGACAGCGGCCCACTTGCCCTTTCCAGCTGCCAGCAGAACCAGTGATTGGGCAGCTTCACATCTCTACGCAATAGCATTGTCTTAGAGAAGGTAAGTTCGACCCAGTGGAGGGATGAAGGTGCCCTCGACCAGTCGTGCATCCATGGATGCTACTCTCGGACGAAGCATCGTGATCAATTTGGCCCATTAATCGCTGCATCGGTAATGCGGTCATATTTCCAACATATATGAACAGTCTACAACATTATATGGTTTTGATCCGGACCCTGGCCGTACCACTGCCCAACTGAACCAAGGGATAGGGATAGAATGGTATGCAATATATACCCGAAGAAATGCCCGTAAATCCACGTTGAATGCCCACGAGTGTTCGTCGACTCCCAGATAAAACAACGCCATGGCCACCGCTCGTCGAAACGGACAAGCCGAAACCCAAGCCCTCAGAAGGCACATCGGCTTGGAGATTCAACCGTGAGCCCCTCCCCCCGTTGGAACACCCTTCCTCACCCAGAAAAGCAAAAGAACCAGCCCAACATGAAGTTCCTACAAATGCACCTAACACCATTTGGGATCCAGAAATATTCGTCACACATCTCGCGCCCCCGCGCCATCATCACCCGCGGTCTCGACTATACCGCCTGCTCCCTCTCCTGGGGTCTCTGAGCGGCGCGTCTCCGCCGGCGAACCGATCCGGGTCAATGTCCCGGTATCCGCTCTCGCGCCGGCTCCCGCTGCTGTGGCGCTTGCTCCGGTGCCGCCTCGGCGGCGAGTGCTCCTCGATGACGACGACCTCGTCGTCGTCGCTCGCCACCACCCGCGGCGGCGGCGGCGGCACCGACGGCTGCCTGCTCACCGACCGCCGCCTCCGCTCCTCCATGACGACCCGCTCCACGCGCTCGCCCCCGGGCTCGTCGACGATGATGGCCGCCGGGGGCCCGCGCGAGGCGGTCCGCACCTCGACCGTCTCGCGCCGCACGCGGTCCCGGCCGTGGTGGTGGTGGTGGTGGTGGCCGTGCCGCGACTTGCGCGTCACCACGCTGGCCGTGCCCACGCTCGACTCCTCGGCGCCCACCATGATGCCGCCGAGCCCGCAGACGGACCGGATCAGCCACGCCAGCAGCAGGAAGCCCGCCACGGCCCCGAGCGTGATGCCCACGACGGTGCCGGGGTCCGGGCCGGAATACAGAGCCCCGTAACCCGAGGGTATGGTAGAGGTTGTTTCATCGCGCGCCGCAACGACGCGGCTCGGTGCCTCGACCGGCGTTCTCGAGGGTAGATGGGAGAGCAGACGCTCGGCGACGGCGGGAGGTGTACGCGGCGCCAAAAACAGGTCATCGATCTTCGGCAGTATCGCCCGGGGTGGCGTGGCGACGACGGCGGCGGCGGCGGCGGCACCGCGCCGTATCAGAGGCGCCATTGTTGGGCGTAGGGCTCCGGTGGACAATCGCTTGTCGTATGAGAGCCGAGGCGCGCGCGAGTGGAATGGGGTCAGATTATGATGAGGATTGTGCGATTCGACGTGGGAATGGAGCGAACGAATCGCCGACGTCCGCAGGATTATTCGGACGACTATTGGAGATCCCCGCAAAGCTTCTTTCTTGCTTCGTCGATTCGTTGGTACGGCCGGCGGGCGCGCGTTCGGTTTCGCAGAGCACTTTACGCAATCGAGCGGCGGGAGGAATGTTGCTAATTGCCTAGCTCTGCCGGGAGCGCGAACTGATGCGGAACGTCCCGATAAGCTTTGCGGCTATGGTTTGGTTCTGTTCCAGGGCAGAAGGCCGCGCAATGTGTCGCGACCATGCGGATTCGATTCCAAAAGATGAAAAGGAGTGGAAAGCGAGCGGCGGGAGGGCGAAAGAGAGAAGAGGAGTGCCCGGGTCGGATGGCGATGATGTGAGAAGCAGGGAAGGGGTCGCCGGCGCAAGCGGCAGAGCAAGTAATCAAATCATGATTGACCCTCGGGGCAACGAGGGCAGACTGGAGGGAGGGGCAGGCACCAGCAAGCATGCATGTATCATTCAAAGTCCAGTCCAGGGAACGAGCCCGCGATGGAACCAACAAACCCCTGCCACCCCCAATACGCGGCTGCTCCGCCCACTGAACCCGGTTTTGATGACACTAATGCCTAGCGTTCCGGGAAATGCGAGTGGCTGGGAAACCTGCCGCATCAACACCCTCACGCCAGTAGTTGTATAGGCCCGTTTGAGATGCCAAGAAATCTCCGCATAAAACAATCCTGCCTCTTTGGGAGGATTCGATTGAATGCCAAAGTTGGGGGACGGGGGAGATGCAAAATAAGCGCCTGGGTATTTGATAATAGAAAGCCGCCACCCATGCTACCCATAACTATTCGACCTTTGAAAACAGTACCCAGCTGTTGCGACTTGGATATCTAGGGCACCTGCCTCATGACGAACCCCCTAAGGCCTCGGATATCCCTGGCCTCGCTGCCCTTCCTCTCTTTCTTGTCGCCTTCGTCCTTCTTCTTGTCCTTCCGATCCTTACGGATCGTGTTCTGGACGCCGCCTGCCGATGCATTCACAATTAGTCTATTGTGGTCGACGGTGAATGACATGCTCTTGAACAACTCACCTCTACCATGGTACCTCTCATTCGTCGGGCTAACGCTTACGGCGCCGCCGGAGAGGTCGGCTGATCGGCTGGCTCCACCCGGAGGGCTCGCGGGGCGATGGATCGCCGTGGCTGCCGAACCACCAGATTCGTAACTTTCCAGCGGTGATAGTGCACTGGCCGACGACGGCTCAAAGGAATCCGGGTCAGACATGATCCTCTGAGTCCTGCTGGTCGTGGTCCTCAACGGGCTACCGACGATCGCGGAGACCTCTGCGTCGGCATCCGACGAGGCCGCCGCATCGTTTCTGGACCTCGAGGGCGCTGCGTTGCAGGTCATGTCGAGCAGCGAAGACTGCAAGACGGTGTACTTGCGCATCAGCAGGCTGTACTGCTTTTGCAGATCCGACTGCTTCGCTCGGCTGGCTGCCAGGGCACTCTCAAACATTTTTGCAGCCTCCTTGCCAGCACCGCTTGGCGCGCTGCCTCTCTCGAGCGCGTCTGCAAGCTTCTTGTTTAGCTCCTCGATCTGGCCTTCGTAGAGATTTCGCGTCCTGGTCAGTTCTGTCTCCCGGGCCTGAAGCTGCATCCTCAGCGCCTCGACTCCGCTTTCCATTTGAGCAGCCTCCCGCATTGCAACTTCGCGCGTGTTTGCCTTGCCTTGATTTTCCCTCTCCAAGGCGGCAAGTCGTTGAACTTCGGCGCGGAGTCTCTCCATCTCGCTGCTGTTGATTTCGATAGATTGCATGGTCTGCGCCGAGTTCAGCTGCTTGACTTCTGCATTGCTGACTAGTTTACGGAGCTTCTCGCATTCCTCTCTGGCCGCCTCGAGATCCCGCCTCAGCGATGCTCCCTCCGTATTCCACTTCTTCTGTTCGTCGCGAAGGTGCCTCAGCTTGTTCGAGAGATCAGATTCCCATTTCTTGGCCAGTGTCCGGCTTTTCTCTGATTCCTTCTTGGTCTGCAGCTCGGCTCTTTTTGACTCCTCTAGGCGATGTTTGAGATTGCGATTCGCCATGATGAGATTCTGGGTCTCCGCTTCGGTCGCTGCTTCTTTGACCTGCTTTCTTCGTAGCGTCCCGATATGAGCAATATGTTGCTGCTTCAGATACCGCTCAAAGTTGAGGTCGTTCTTGAGCAACAAGATCTCCCGACGTAGTTCAGCCACTTGGTCAGTGCCGTCCGTGGAAACATGACGGGAGGTCAGGGGCTGTCCAGGCCCAGACAGACGAACGGACGGTGTTTCCGGGATGTTCTCATGGTGGCTCAAAGACAGGGATGGGACACTATCGTTTGGCAGATGTTGTTGCAGTCCCGCAGACTTGATGGCCTTGTTAGAATTGATCATGTCCTGCAAATCTGTCTGCGAGGGTGATAACACCAAGTGAGGCGGGAGTGTTGGACTGTCTGCTGCCGACTCCTTCATGCGGCTTTCTGTGGGCTCGTGCACAGAAGGATGACTTGACACGGAACTCTGGCGTGCGATTGTGGACTGGGCTCTGCTGCTCGGTCCCGATCCCCCAGCGCCGGATCCGGCCTGCTGCGCATCGAAACCATGACTGGATTGCATCATGAGGGACCCGCTCAGCAAGGCATGGTCTGAGCCTTCTTTCTCGGCATCCTCGCTGGTCAGCGGGCTTGGGGAACGTCGCAAGGGGATCGAGCCTAGATGGCTCATCGCCCCCGACTCTAGAGGGAGGCAGAGAGCCATACACTCGGCAACTACATCCGCTGGCTCGCTCTTGATCCACCGGCTGAAGTCGGTCTTTTCCGAGTCGATCGTCATGCTATAGAAGTTGGGATGAAGTAAGTGCCATTGCCTATATCGCTCAGATCTGTGGCGGATCTCGGACGGCTGCACCTCAATGTCATCAACGCCTGATGCATTGGCATGCCTAAGATATCGCTGCGGTTTCCGGATGTATTCGATAAAGTTTAGTGGGTAGAGGCCGTACAGAATCGTAAAGTAGCCAAGGAGATACTGGATGTGATTACCGTCCGTATCTGGCGAGTATGTGCAGATCTCCCAGTCAGTGGCGCTGTCCGTGTTCTCCTGCTTCGAGGCTGTCTGCGTCTCATCCAGTGCGACAGCCCGCTCTCTATCCCAGAAGAGTAGCCTGGCATAGATGTTGAACAAGGCGGGCAGGTAAGGAACCAATGAGCTCGGCATGTTGGGTAACAGCATGATCAGTGCCGAGAGGGCGAGCGACACGACAGTAGTGGAGGTATCGGTCTGAAGACAACGTAGAAGGTCTTCGAAGAGTGGTGTCTTCTGGGCGACGTAGAGGTGGGCTGGCTGAGTCTGGACAAACTCGCACAGCAACACAAGCGTTCGGCTACGGAGTTCCTTCTTCCTAAACGCCCGGTCTAGCGCTAGGAAGAAACTCTGAATGAGTTGTCAGCCAGCTATTTCAATGATATATGACGAGCATGCGATAGACGTACCCGAGGCCTCTTCTTGCCACATCGAAGAGCTGCCTCGCGCCCAAAACGTTCATGGAAAGCAGCGTCAGGACTGTCATCCTGCGCAAGCCTAGCGAGAGCCACCCATTTCTCAAAGAGACGCTCCACGACAGGGTTTGGTGTTGTTGTGTGTTCCTCGGCTTCTTGATCATCGCCGTCGGCAATCAAAAGACTTTCAATGTTGGACAGCGCTTCCATGGCAAGTCTCTTTTCCTGCCCGAGATAGCCGAGTACGGGTTCGATCAATATGTCAAACCACTGGAGTATATGTGTCGAGGCGCGGATAGCCGGGCGTACTTGGCGCAGGATGGCAAGGAATGGTGCGAATCGCGGAGGATTGTCCAGCACATGTTTATTGAAGATGGACAATAGCTCCTCTTGGAGCTTCTCCGCTGAAGCCTGGTCATAGTTCTCATGCTTTTCGAGGTATCCTTCGATCGTATTGCTCAGATCATCGGGGAGAGGGAGCGATGGCGTGGTTATAAAGGCCGTAATTGCCTTGGTGAGGTCCTTGGTCGACCTGGGGTACCATTTTGATCAGCATTAGCTCGTAGGCTGTCTGGAGCGTGGCAGGGCACGGTGGGAATGAGGGTCAGGGTTATGGCACCCGAGGACATACGTATGAGAACTCATGTTGGCGTTCGTAGTTCAGGGAAGCCGAGCTAGCGTTGACGTTGAGCTCGAAGGGTCCAAGGTTTGGAGAGCTCCTCCGCCATGAGATCCGAAGTGGGCGGGTCGAAGCCGTGCGCCCGATGAAGGGCACAAGTCCGGTATTACCTGTCCTGGCAGCACCTCAGAATGGTAGCCAGAGAGGGACAGCGATGGTGGTGATGCAAGGCCAACACGAGGAGCTCCTGAAGCTCGAGACTCGGAGCTTGACAGCTGCATCCATCAAGTTCGTCATCTGCTTTTCTCCTCTCCTCCACTCGGTATCCTGCATACGCTAATACCCACTGGGCCCCTACTGCTAGAAGGTCCACGTACTTACCTAAGCGAACAGCTTCCCCCCTGGTCAGTTGGCCGGGTTGGCGTTTCCTGCCTGAAGCAACTGCACTAACCATGCAGAAAATGCCCTCATTGTCGCAACAGGCGGGGCATGTGACCACGGCTGGGACCCCGCAATACCCATAATTCCAGCGACCGAGTCACGCCAGTGAAGCACAGTTACGTGCTAAATTACCCATTCAGTGCAATTGAACGGGCCTATCGACACCTCTTCTGCTACCCCGCGATGGAGTCCCGGCATGGGCCTCGACTAGACTCAATGGTCCAATGCCTCTGGCCAATGAGGCCACCATCTGGCCACTGAGGAATGGCTGTTGTTATATGACTTAGGTACCTACGTGGGGTCTTGGGAGGATGGACAAGCTGATCTGCATGGCACACACACCTCCTCCCACCACCGAGACCATTACCACCTCCTAACTCCTCACTCGACGCAGCAACCCAGCTTATAAAGAGTGCGGGACGTCTTCCAACCCCTCCTTTGTCTCTTCTTCTCTCTTCTCTCCCCTCCAAGACAGCTCCGAACTTGCCATTGACTCACGAGAGTGCTAGATTTCAACGCACCTCTATTCCCAGTACAAGCCTTGCCTTAGATATCCTTTGATTCTCACGCCACCCTCACATTCTTCACATTTCATCCCGCACACATCAATCATGGCGCACAAGACTTCTGCCGTTGCCGACGAGCCCATTGAGGTGCTCTTCTGTCTGCAGGACAAGTTCAACCTGATGGACTTCAGCGGCGCTGCCGAGGTCTTCACCACCGCGCTCCATGAGATCAAGGATAAGTGTAGGTGAAATGACGAAAACGGCCCAAGATGCACTTGTAGTTCCGAGCTGACCGCTTGCCCCCCTCCGCGCCTACAGCCTCCAAGGCCTTTGAGATTTCCATCGCTTCCGAGGAACCCAAGGTCATGTCTGAGGAAGGCATTGTCGTTGGCGGCCAGCTGTCCTACAAAGAGGCCTATGAGAACCTCAAAGACTACGATACCATCGTCATCGTTGGCGGCAACTCGGAAACCGTTCTTAAGGAGAAGAAGGAGCCCCTCAACATCATCACTGCTTTTGCCGAACTCCAGAAGTCCGACCCCGGCCGCGAGAGGACCCTTCTGTCTATCTGCACCGGTTCCCTCTTCCTCGCCCAGCAGGGCATCCTGACTGGCCTTTCGGCCACCACCCACCCCGACTACCTCACCCGATTTGAGAACCTCTGCAGCCAGGCTGCCACACGCGAGCTCGCTGAGCGCACCGACGTGGACGAGGATGCCAGATATGTCGTCAACAATCTGCGCTTCGACCTTGGCGACGAGGATGAGAACCCATACGTCCGCCGCAAGTCGGATGCTCGCCGTCCTTCCAATGCTAGGTAAATAATAACACGGCACTCCATTTTTTTCGGCATGGGTTCGCAGCCGCTAACACGTCTGTGCATATAGGAAGGGAAGCATGTCTCTCAAGGGCTCTTCACGTCGCGAGTCCATCGCCCGCCGCGCCGCGATGCGCCTAGGAGGGCTTCGGGTCATCACGGCTGGGGGAGTGAGCGCTGGCGTGGATGCAGCTTTGTATCTCGTCAGCGCTCTCGTTTCGGAGGAGTCGGCCGAGGAGGTGGCCAGGCAGATGCAGTGGACCTGGGTTAAGGGCGTTGTGGTCGATGGTCTTGATGTTTAGACTCATAGACGGGATTTGCATAGATCGGGATACACTACATGGGCTAAAGGCTAGCTCCACGGATTTGTTTGCAGGCGAGACGGATGTTTCAGGGTTTGTATGAATTGGGATCGATCTTTGATGTTGTAAGGTTTTGGACTCGGTGGCAGCTCGCATCACCACTCTAGGATGAACAATGGAATCACATCCTCCAGGACCGCACTCTGACTATCAGACGGTGTGCAATTGAGTGCTTTGCGTCGTCGCATTATGGCCTGCTACATCACACGAGGTGGGCAGAGCTGGGCAGAGCTGGGCAGACGATATTGTGGGGTGCAGGGCTTCCCTTTGCATGCAATCCCTGAATCCACCAGCAGACGCTTGACACAATGCGTGTTAGCACCAATTGACAGCTCCGGGACCCATAAAATCTCCGGAGACTGGGCATTCTAATTTTCCAGTGCTATTTTCGAGACTCGAAGAACGCCGTCTGCCAATATCAAAGAGAGGCAAGCAGAAGCCAATCCGTTCTCGTCACACACACACATACTCTGCTCGGGATTGTCAATCTCGATAATCCTCGGCTGTGTATCAGAGTCATGGCTTCAGCAGTGGCAGAGGCGGCCGTCAGGGCTGGCCCGAGGTTTCGAGTCGGCAGCAGACAAGTCTTCCTGTGAGTGAAACGATGGCCTCATCCGCAGAGCGCGCCACTAGCAAGATGAGGGATGTTCTCTAACGGTGCATGTCGCTTGCTCGCAGTCCCAACCACGTCATCACGCTGGTCCAGCCCAAGCCCAACCAGCCGCCCACCTACGCCACCTTCCTCGTGCCGCTCAAGTTCAACAAGCTCGACCTCCGCGACTACCTGTACCACGCCTACGACGTCGAGGTGCTGTCGGTGCGCTCCTTCATCAACCAGCAGAAGCCGCGGCAGCCCTTTGAGGAGAACGGCGCCAAGTTTGGCAAGTGGTACCGCCCGCTGTCCAAGAAGATGATGACGGTCGAGCTGGCCAAGCCGTTCGTCTTCCCCAAGGCGCCCGAGGACCTGGAGCCCTGGGACCAGGAGATGTACGACCGCCTGCGCAAGGCGCAGCGGGGCCAGCTCGAGGCGCGGGAGCGCATCATGGCGGGCAAGTACCCCCTGCGCGAGGAGCTCGAGATCCAGCCGCAGCGCGTCGAGCTGGCCAGGCAGGCGGCCGACCTGCGCAAGGGCAAGACGCAGTGGAAGAACGACGTCGTGCTCGACGACAAGTGGGAGGAGCTGGAGAGGATACAGAAGACGAAGGAGAAGTCGTCATGAGAGCGAAAAAACGGGGGCCCCCCACGAGGTGTGTCGATGATGAGCGGAAAGTTTTTTGTAAATTATAGCATGTGCATGTACTGTCACGTCACGCATTGATAGACTGTATGATATTGGGGAAGACAACATGGAATGATACCAATGGCCAGCTCAACAAGTTGTCCATTCTCAACTAGTATCTCGGCAACGCTTTTGAGCTTCTGCTGATCTACTGTCACTCGTCTCTGTACTCCCGGGCTCATCATGATCCGGGTTGTGCCAATGCTGAGGCGCTTGGAACATCAACACCTGGTCGCCCCAACTCCACCAGCCGGCAGTGAGATTCCTAGCGAATACCTCCAAGGCAGTGTAGTCTGTGGGCAATGCACACTCGAGCAGCGACCGCAGACAAGGCTTCCTCGAGTGCGCATCGGGGACGGTGACGATGACCTTGCCTCCCGAGCTGAGCTTTGGTGCCGGAGAACCGACCCTCCGGGCCAGGAGCAGCCGCTCCCATGGTTTCCGCCACTGGGATTCGACGTCGAAGATGGGCTCTCCCGTCGTCGTCACTTTGAGCCAGGTCCACGTGTCTACGAGCTCCACGCCCCATTCGGCAAAGATGCCGTTCCGCGGCGACGTGAGCAGGTCAACATAGCTGTGGTTGTTTGTGACCCAGACCGCGACGAGGCCGTCTGGTCCCAGCTTGGAACGGACGGGGGTGTTTGCTAGGAGGTCCCTGGTCGAGGAAAGCCCGTCGGCAGTGGTGTACGTGCTGCCTCTCTGCTTGCGACGGGCTGAGCGGTTGGGCCAGGGCGGGTCCATGAGGATGAGGTCGAACAAGGGCGCTGTTTCGATAAGGTCCTGTCGTCGATCCCGGATTGTGCCTTCCAGGTAGTGGGAGTCTTTGGGCGTCATGATCCGAGGAGACTCTGGTGGTATCACTTGATCATTGCTGCACTTCGACTGCATAGACATAGACTTCCTCTTTTGCGAGGAGCCCTCGCCCGAGTCGGACGGCCTGGACTCATCATATGTACGAGGATGGCACCAGGGTCCAGAGTAGGTCTGCTGGATCTCCTCCAGAGCTGCATTCACTCTTGCGAGAGTCATCAACTCGGCCACCTGAGCTGCCGGGTCCGGGGCATGTTGGAAGCTTTGCTTCTTTGGCTCCGGAAGCTTGAATGGTTCCTCTGGAGGGGCCGTTGAGATGAGCCTCCGGAGTCGCGGCTCGCGGTCGCCGTGTAACTCGTTTGAAAGGACCTGCCCTTCTTCAAGAGACTTGGGCAGGTCTAGCAGAATCACTGATTTGTCCTCATTCTGGAATAGCACAGATGGCGTTCGACTCATCAGCCGCGAACTGTGCCTGTGAGGCTTCCAGTCCAACCAGTCTACCTAGTTCTGAAATGGCCCATGTAGCCAGGCTTATATCGCCAATTCAAAGCTCAAGCAGGGTAATAAGTGGGCGATGGGTGACCCAGGCTCGATGTGTGATAGGTAGTAGTGTGTGAAGTCGGAGGAATAGTCGAGGCTCGGTAAGCCTCGGTTAGGCGAGGTCGAAGAGCGGGAGCCGCGCCTTTTGCCGGGTCCAGCGCTGTGCTTTGGGGGCCAATGCCTCGCCTACCATTGGGCAAAATCCAGCGAGCCCTCCCCCGGCGGGCGGATGACGTTCGCTGTTCTGGTCGCATGCTCCCGCTCCGAGGAAAGTCATTCCTCACGCTTGCCCTGACAAAGCCCTTTTTTTCTGCCTCCGCGTTTTCCCACTCCAGACCCCAGATTCTGGAGTCCCTCGACGACTTTGCTTGTCGATCCGACACCTTTTCTTTCAAGAGTACAATCTGTCTTGTGGGCTCGCTCCTCGCGTCTCTCTCCGAACTCGGAATTTTTCTTCTTCTTCTTCTTTGAGCCGAGCAATAGCCGCGAAAACCCCCCACGGAAGCCTCCGCCCAACCGGCCCCGGTGACAAATCAAAGCCCCGGAATGGTAGTGTCGCTCAGCCGGCAGCCGTAACCACGATCGAGACGCGAGAGAAGGGCTCCGGTGGCCAGGTGATGCCATCGGCGCTCGCCGGCCATGCCGCAATGCCGGTGATCGCGCAGGAGCAGTCGCGCAGAGAGGCGGCGACGCTCGCCAAGAACAACGACGGCGGCCGCGAGAGAGCCGGCGCGCCTGCGGCTCCGGTCGCGGACGCCAGGTCGCGCGAGGCGGCGAGCAAGAAGATACTGGACAAGCAGAGCATAGACTACCTATGGCGGTCGGGTGTTGCGGGCGGCGCAGCTGGGTGCGCGGTAGGTTTACCCTCTGGTCTATCCAGCGCGACGTGGGCGCCGTATTGTCGATTCTGGACTCGGTGTACTAAACGGGACAAACGATGCAGGCCAAGACGATCGTCGCGCCCCTCGACAGGGTCAAGATTCTATTTCAGTCGAGCAACCCGCAGTTCGCCAAGTACTCTGGGTCGTGGGTCGGCGTGGCCAATGCGATGAAGGTCATCTATCGCCAGGACGGTACGGTCGGGCTTTTCCGCGGGCACTCGGCCACTCTCCTCAAGATCTTCCCCTACGCCGCAATCAAGTTCATCGCCTACGAGCAGATCCGATCTACGATCATCCCGAGGAAGGAGTACGAGACGCCCATCCGCCGCCTGCTGAGCGGCTCCCTCGCGGGCATCACCTCGGTCTTCTTTACATACCCGCTCGAAGTCATCAGGGTACGTCTCGCGTTCGAGACGAAGCGCGAGGGCCGCTCCTCCCTCATCTCCATCTGCAAGAGGATATACAGCGAGAAGTCGTACCGCCGGCCGGCAGGGGTTGCCGCGGGCGAGGCTGCAGCAGGCACCGCGGCGGTGCTGCACGCGCCGCAGTCCGGCATGATCAACTTCTACCGCGGCTTCACGCCGACCATGCTGGGCATGCTGCCCTACGCGGGCATGTCGTTCCTCACGCACGACACCTGCGGCGACATACTGCGGCACCCGGCCATCGCCAGGTGGACGACGCTGCCGCAGCCCCGGAACGCGCCCCCCGGCAAGCGGGTGCCCCTGCGGTCCTGGGCCGAGCTGCTCGCCGGCGGGGTGGCGGGCCTGGTGTCGCAGACGGCGTCGTACCCGCTCGAGGTCATCAGGCGGCGCATGCAGGTCGGGGGCGCCGTGGGCGACGGCCACCGGCTGCGGATCGGGGAGACGGCGCGGCTCATCCTGCAGGAGAGGGGCCCGCGGGGCTTCTTTGTCGGCCTGACGATCGGGTATGCCAAGATTATACCCATGTCGGCGGCGAGCTTCTATACCTACGAGCGTTTGAAGACCTTGTTTGGCATCTAGATGTGGAGAGAGTGTGTGTTGCAAAATGGCGGCGCCATTGCGTCTTTTTGTTTTGGGGGGGGCGGCTTTTGTCTATTTATGGCGGCGTTGTTTTGGGGGAGGCACTTTATTGCATTGGCTTGTTTTTATGGCATTTACACGGCATGCTTCTTGTTGTTTTTCCCACTGTCTCGTTGTGGTTGTTGACGAGAGCAGAAGTGAGTTGTTGTCCGTCCATAAAAGGGGCTGCGCAGGGCATATATCTGGAGAGTTTACACATTCCTCTGCTCATAGAAACATGAGGGTAAACACAATTCACCATAGAGTTGAGTAAGACCAAGGGTTGCATTGTGCCAGACACTCTTATGGTCAGGTCATATAATGAACGGTGATTCGATTTGATATATCGTTGGGAATAAAAGCAATAACAAAGGCAATCGAAGATTCAGGTTTAGCTCGCGACGTTCTTGGTAAGATGATGTACTCTGGAGCATCAGATCGCCAAAACTCCAAAATATGACACACAAGTGGGTGTCTGAATAGTTGACGGAAGTTCATCAGGAGCTACCTCGATCTTAACAACCGATATCCTTGTCACATCCTTGCCCTAGAACTCGGAAGGGTGCTATCCCACTACCTAAATCCGATGGGCTTGATGGATAGTCAAGTACTTCTGTTAGCAGTCCGTCAGCTAATCTGACCCTCGCTTGACACAATAAGCAACAGAGAGTAAAGCAGGGTGTCTGGGTTATGTCAATCATTCTGTACGTCGTCAGCCATGTTCATCCTTGCCTGAATCGGTTGGATCCTTAGCGTCGTGAGGCGCATCCATATACATATACGGTTTGGATGTAGGTATTTTGAAGTCGGGGACTACGTAATCAACCCGTTACTTTACATAGAAAGTCAGGAATGAAAATAGGGTTTGCGCCAGGCCAAAAGTCCCATCCATCTACACTTGTACAACGAGAAGTCTGTATGTCGTCCAGGGTCCCCAGTACCGTAGCTATTTTTCTGTTGGGTATTTATGCCCAAAGATAAATGCGCGTCAGAGTGCGAGAGGGTCCAGCGAGTCCTCGGGATGAAGTGCTTGTGCTTCCTTTGTGATGCGGACCGCGTAGCCACGTACAAGTAGGCTTTGATGAATAAGATAGCAATGTTATTCCTGCTTGCGGCGTAGGAAAAATTTCCATCATTAATTGGAGACTTTGCCATGGGGTCCAGATGATTTTCAGGGTTCTTCCAATTGCCTTGTCGTTCGTTGTCGGAGGGGCGCGAGTCCGGGCGTCTATTTTGGGAAATGTCCATCTAACTACGGAGTATGTGTGGATGCACAGCCGCCACACTCAGCTCCGTCATCCATGGGCTGGCATGGCACGCCGCCTCTTTCACCACCAACTCCTCCTCCTGCTGGAGCCCAGCTGGGTCCTCTGGCAGCGCCGCAGCTGGCGCGGATGACGCCGCGATAGGCGAATGACGACGGCGACAGTCATCCATGATGGAGGAGCATGAGGAGGAGCAGGAGGCCCAGCGGAGCACAGCAATTGGCGGCCCCCATCATCTGAGCTGTGCCTGCTCATGTGCCTGTCTCTCGACAAAGAGCGACGAGTAAGCGAGCGGACAGATTCAGTCCTGTATCGAGAATAGGATCGGCCACCATGGCCCCATCTCAAAATATCCCAGACTGTGTGGTTCGTCCTCGGGATCGCCAACCCAGCCCGGGCGGACAGAGTCCCGATTGTTTTTATGGTTATGCGTGATTCAGGCAAACACCACCAAAGTGGCTGACCGACTCAAGTCGAGACAAAGGGCATCGTCGTCACGTCAACCTCTGCTTCTAATTCTTATCCCCCACGCTGTTTCTGCTTTCCCTCCTCTTGGGAAGACGAAGACTTGGTCCCATCATTAGATTGATTGCTTTGTTCTTCAGCCCCTAGCTTCGCTGCTTCGTTTGTTGGTAGGCTATGGTACTACAGCACAGCCTTGCGAAACACCAGACTTGCCTCTCTCTCGTCTCCATCCTTTCCCCCCTCGACTTCCTCCTCACGTCACCGACACCTAGACCGACCGTTTCCCCATCGTCTGCTGCTTCTTGAACAATCATGAACTGGGTACGGCCGCCCAGCATGTCGAAACGATATGCCTTCACCACCACAACCCGGCTCCCAGCCAGCGTCGGCCGGGATGCCGTCCTCGACTACCTCCACAACCACGAAGAGTTCTTGGCCTGCAACCCGCTCGTCACGGAATGGCGCCGGATAGCACCGCCTGCCGGCGTGCATCCGGACGAGCAGAAATGTGCGTGGTTCTCGGTCACGGAGAAGAGCCACTCGGCTCTGCACGGCCGGACAGGCGACGACATCACTCAGGAGTGCTCCTTCTACAATCTTCCAGACGGCATACAAACACATGTTTGGGCGACTATGGGAGTGTATGTGGTTTTTTTTTCCCCTCCTTTTCTTTGTTGCACGCATGTATGTATGGACCTCTCTGCTGACGCTCGTCCCCCAGCGACATTCGCCAGAGATGGATCGTCGAGGGCGCTCTTCCCGGCGAGCCGGCGCACCAGCCGAGAAGCCGCGCCGAGGCCCCGTTGATCGGCCTCCACCTGCGAGAAGACGTGGAGATGCGCTGCAACGTCCTCATGGCGTCGTCGCTCAAGAAGAGCCTGAGGGGGTCGCACGCCGCCCACGTAAAGCGCCTCTGCGAGCAGGCGTGGCTGGCACCGGCCCGTCCTAGTAGGCCGAGGTCGACGACGGCGACGACGATGGCCTACTCCAAGACGCCCGCCCCGGGCCTGTACGCGCACGAGCTGCAGCCCAAGCTCGCCCACTTCCGGCCCCTGTCGCACTCGACCTCGGACCCGGAGACGTACACGACGAGAAATCCAAATCACAACCGTGGTTGGGGGGCGTCGCGGGATAGTTCGCCCGGCATGACTCGGGGCACGCGGGCACGACTGAGTCTGCCGCCGATAACGACTCAGTTTGGCCCGCCCTCCCCAGCTCCGCCGCCGGTACCAGTACCAGTAGAGACGACGGGCGGCCATGGCAACAGCAACAGCAACAGCAACAACGACAGCGACAGAGACAGCAGCTTGTACCCCCATCCCCTGCGGATCGTACGGCATGTCTCACCCGCCGCCCATCCGCCGCCCAGCCACCGACATAGCTCTGCGCCTGTGCGACCACCACCACCACCACCGCCGTCCACTCTGGGTGGTACTACCCTCGACACAAGTCGCGGTACAACAGCGACGGCTACAATGACAAATAACGGCCACTTGGCACCAGCCAGCCCGGAATCGGCCAGGCACGCCGCTCCGCCGGCTTCTTCTACCTCATCGCCTTGGCACCTGAGCTCGCGGGGTGCCGAAACAGCCAAGCTGGCCGCCGCCCGTCGTCCAGCTCCGAGCCCACGCAGCGCGGGACCGGGTGGGATGTCTACAGCCGTTCTTACGCGCCAACGAGCCCCCGCCTCTGATCAGCAGCAGCAACAACAGCAGCAGCAGCAGCTGCAGAAGCAACAGCAAAGCCAGCGGGCGACGGTGGCGACGACAGCGACGACGACGCAGCACCCGCTGTACCCCATGCTCAACCCCTATTCGGACGAGGGCCTCTCGCCCATCGTGCTCACCGAGGAGCAGAGGGCGGCGATCCTCCGCGGCATCAGCGACACGCTGTCGGCCGTCCGGGAGGCCGCCCATGCCGCCCGGCTGGAGGAGCCGGCGCGCCTGACGAGCGCCACGCTCAACGCGCCCTTTGCGCCCGAGTTCTATGAGAATTTCTGTCTGGTGTAGTGTAGACTGACTGACTGGGGGAGCACGGGTACATCTATGATGATGATGATGATGATGGTCGGTTTTTCAGTCTTTCCAAGGTGGAAACTGTACACCAGAGCATAGCAATACGGAGTCTTGTATTTTCACAGCGCGAGTTTGCTTTTTGTACAAGCGCGCAGGAGAAGAAGAGCCAGGGCGCAAAGCAACCTATACCCCCCCATACTCGTTCGTTTTTTTATCTTTTCTTTCGAGGCGGTTGACGGGCCTCTCTCCATGATGATACCAACATCGCTCGTTTGTACTATATATACCATTATATCAAATCTAGAATGGGACATCTCAAAAGGTTCGGACAGAGCGGGTTATGAATTTTTGTGTAAACATTAGCGTTTAAGATTGAGGAACATGATGCCCATGTTATCATACAAGAGCAGAAACATGCAAGAGAAACAATGGGAGGGAAAGAAAAAAAAAAAGGCAAGCCCGGTGGGAAACAGAGATGTGAGGTGAGTGAAAGCAGAGACCGCCCCCCCCCCCCCCTGAAATTATATGCCAACTTCAACTTCTCAATTTCGCATGCATCATGCCCATCGACCACTAGCCGCTGGGGGACACTGGGAAGACTATCGTGATAATCATGCTAATCGTGCTTTGCATCCCCCCCGTTTCCCCTTGAATTTCCCATCACTAAAGACAAAAATATCCCCCAACCACAGAAAACCCAAAAAGAATTCCTTCACATTTCTCAACCCGCCCGGAGACATTATCGAAACATCGTCAGGCGGGGATCAAACAAAAACATTTCCCTTGTCTGGCTCCTCTCCGGCGGGGCTCACTCTCCTTCCCAGGGCACCAGGCGCGTGCAACGATGAGAGGGTCAAGAAGTAAAAGAAGCTCGATATACCGGCCGGACGGTCTTCAGAGACGGCACGACCGGGCTCGGGCTCGAAAAGCAGAGGCAAAACCCGCCCCGGGGAAAAGACGAGAGAAGAGCCCTTGAAGAGAGGAGGTAAAGACGGCTCAACTCGGGAAGAGAAGAGGGCCGCTTTTTACAGAGCAAGAGCGCCGAGGGCGGCGGCGCCAAGGGCGACGGCAGCGCCGGCGATGCCCTGGGCCTTGGGGGCGCCGGCAACGACGAAGGTGGGCTGGGGGGGGACGCAGCCGGCGGTGCCGCACGAGCCGGTCGGGGCGACCGGGGTGACGGGCACGACGGGGACGGGGGTGACGGTGATGCAGCCGCCGGGAGGGCAGACGGGCACGACGCAGCCGCCCTGGGGGCAGACGGGCTTGACGGGCACGGGCACGGGCTGGAGAAGAGACGTCAGCGCTGTTTGTTTGTTGAGAGCAGGGCCGGGCAGATGATGATCAGGCAAAGACAAGACTTACAGTGACGATGGTGCAGGGGCAGTTGGTGACGGTCAGCACCTGGGGCGCGGTGACGGTGTAGCAGACCTCGTTGAAGGTCAGGACCGTGGGCTGCGGGCAGTAGGTGGTGAAGCTCGAGACGACGGTGGTGACGTGGACGGTGCCGTTGATGGTCTGGGGCGAGTTGGCGGTGGTGCTCTGGGCGGCGGCCGAGGCGGCGAGGGCGAGGATGGAGGCCTTGAACTGCATTTTGGCTGATTTGGTTGTTGTTGGGGAGTCGAAAAAAGACTTTGGCGGGAGAAGAAAGTGGCTTGGTAAGGAGTGACTGAGGGCGAGTTTTCGGTTTATAGCGAGTGACTGTTGCGGAACGCAAGACTTACTTTGATACGAGGATGAGAGAAAGAAAAGAAGAAGGCAGGTCGAGAGGGACGGGACGGAGAGAGGCTGTACTTATGTGTCGGCGGGATCACACTCTTGCTCTGCTCTTGGCTCGGGCGTGGTCCAGGAACGCCAGCATTCCTGGCCACCCAGCCTCGGGGGGCGGCGGACTTGGGTGGGTGTTCGTGACATTGATTGGCACGGAACCAAAACAAAAAAGAAGCAACCCTCGATGAGCGCGCCGAGCCAGACATGCGGTGCCCACGCTTGCCAGGAGTCCTTCTCCGCCGCCCCCCCCCTCCCAGCTTCATCCCAGCCCGGATAGCCTCACCTGCTCCGGCCAGAGCCAGAGGATTACCTACTTAGGTAGGAGAGGGGAGACAGGGACCCGTTCGATAGCTCCTCTCGCTATGCCGGCCTGAGTATGCTTAACCGGTCACGAAGGTGCGCAAGAATTCAGCAATCAAACTCGGTGGGTCGGCCAATGGGGGGGGGGAAAGGAAACTGGCATTCCGGTGCTGGTGATCAAAACAACAAAGAGTAGGAGCTCTTCTTTTCCTTCCTCTCTCAGTGGTGTTTGGCCGGAAAGAGAGAGAGAGAGGAGAGAAGGGTGCCCGCTGCCCGGGCCTGGAATGCCAGCAATGCGTGTGCGGCGCCTCCGCCATGGCGCGCGCAACCCGCAGCATTCCAGCCCGACCGTGTAAGTGGATTCGCCCGCCCGCCCTTCGGACCACCGCCGCCGAACCAGCAGCCTCGACCGAAAACACGAACGACCCGAGATCAAAAGATTTTGCCCTCTCCCATCAGCTCGCTAGCCCCGTTTTTTTGGGGGGGGGCCCTGGGTTCGTTCAAAGAAACGCAAATCAAAATAGTTCCTGATTTTTGTCGGGGAAAATGTTTGGGAGAAATGTAGCGTTGGGCCCCCCGGAGAGCCGATGCAAAAGCTTGACACATCAGGCCCGGCGGCCGGATGACACTAGGTAGGTAGTTACCTATGACAGCTCGAGCTTTCTTTCTTTTCCCCCAATTCGCTGCCCGCGCATTGGTCCATATCGTGATCGCATCGTCGCAGCCCTGATCGATTACATGCCAGACCACACAAGAGAGGCACGACCGAGTGAGCAAGGTCGGTACCTAGTCTGACACCACTTTTTGCCTGCCCGGATGCTTCAGTCCCACCCCTCCTGCTAGCCTCGCTGAGGCACCTCCGAAGCAAGAGAAGGATAAGTATGATATGCCAAGCAAGTTTCGGGATCCAGGCACAGGACCGGGAACGAGACATTCTCCAGTATAGAGGAAATTTAAGCATCGTCAATAGGTAGTAGCCGGCCGCCTCCCTAGCTAGCCCTTGAGACATGACCGACTACCCATGTCATGAACGACCCGTAGATCAGGACGATCCATCTAGGTAGTAGGTAGGCACTCCGTAAACCATACGATCAGATCTCCATTCCCCTTTGTCAGGAAATAGTTCTGCGTCTGCTCGACTTTGTACTAGCGCCAGGTACAGTATTGTAGAGAGGAGACAATAGATAGGATATGTCGGTCCAGTTTTGTGAGAAGCCCTCGCGAGACGCGGCGCAGTGGGACTCCTGACGCATTCTCCCTTCCTGGCATCTCGGGGTTTGAAGCCGCCATGTCATGGTCTCATGGCGCCTTTCAGGGACCATACCGATCATTCGAACCAACCTCGTATCGCCAAATTCAACTACAGCTTGCTGGTATGCCCGGATATCAGTGTTTACTCCGCAATGCTGATTTATCGAATCAATTCTGGCACTTTTTCCCAATTCGAGTCCAAATACCGGATCGTTAGAAGAATCAATCTCAAGAGAGCCGGCTGGCCGACTTTGCCCAAGTATTCTGGACCGAGCCCCCAAGTCCAATCCGGATATCAACTTTTCAGCCTCGGGCCTCTCTCGGCTCGCGGGTGCGTGCACCTAGCTCGCGTGCCACAAGAAGCCAACTCATCGTCGGTGGCGCCGGGGGCCGTCATGTCATGCATCTGCCCTGCCAGTCAGTCTGACTCGCTCAAGCACAAGCTCAAGCTCAAGCTCAAGCTCAAGCTCAAGCTCAAGCTCAAGCTCAAATCAAGTCTGACATTGCTAGCTATGTTTCAAGATTCACTGACAGGCAGCAAGGACTGTTAGAATTTGACAAGAAGAATCAGCCTTTCTACAAAGCTGTTTCATCATTTATTTATTGCTTCTTCTACTCGACAGCCGCCACCGTCTCTCACGCCCCTCTTCCGGCAAACTCTTCCTCCCTTCTCTTCTCGTGTACTGTGTATATCCCCGGCCGCCCGCTCCAGATTTTGATAATGCTAGCAGAGAACAAAGAAAAACAAAAACAAGACATGGCTCGTGGCCAAACCCCAATGCAACACACCGGGGAGGCGGTATGGGGATCCGCCACGCCTAGCCCAACGCCGATATGTGTGTGTGTGTGTGTGTGATGGGCCTTCTATGGGTCAACTCTCTCTGCAAACGCCCTTCTCTACCCGCCAAAATAGAGAAGTGTCCAGAACAGTACACCCCGGCCCTGCAATTATATAGATCATTACCCTCCAAAAGCCGTTGATGCAGTAAAGAAGAAAGCTCGGAGTGAAGATGCTCAAAGGTATCTCATACAGCCGCAGAAACGACAAGGCCAACCCCCATCCCAAGGGTTCCCAACTGCCTTTTCCATGTCTATGCAATTTGGAAACGACAGACACCCGTGCTGAAACGATGCACACAAAAGAGGGAAAGGGATAAAAGGAAAAAAAGAGGATCTAATCCGGGCACGCAGGTTTGGCGAGGCGAATCAGCGAGTGACTGGCATGTTTGGTGGCCAGAAATTGCGCTTCATTCCGTCCTCGACCAGGTGGATCAGATCCACTCCGCAGGTCACGCACGACGACACCAACAGCAATCGCCGCGCATTAGGCATCTCACTTGCGGTTAGATCTGCTCTGGCTGCGCTCCGGTAGGCGTGTCTGACTGCCCGACATGGAGTCAAAGTCGTAGTTCTTGAGCGTCTGCTCATACTTGGGGCTCTTAAGGAATTTGGGCACCGAATCCTATAATAACGCCTTAGAACCAGGACTATGGCGGGACATGGCATATATAGCCGGGGGGGGGGCTTTGGAACTTACGCTCGCCATCAGCTTGAAGACAGCATTCTGCGCATCCTCAAAGAGGGCCGTCACCTCGTGCAGGGTATCGATCATGGCCACGTCTTGGCCGACAGCCTTGGTCATCCGCGTAGCAAGGTTGTTCCGGAGCTGATGGTCGATATTGAGCTCGCAAGGCGATCCGGGGGCCAAGAAGGCATTGTATATGCCATATGCCTGCGCCATAATCTCCTTGACACCGTCCATCGAGGTTGCAGTCGCGTTCTTCTGTGCTGCTCGGATAGCTACACGGCAGCTCCTCACAAAGTCGTCAACCTCCAAGTAGAACGACAGGTTCTCCTCGCAGTGGGTGTCTCGGAGGTTCTCGCGGAAGAGCAGGCGAAGCGCGGCGTCATTCAGGATCTTGTCCAGCCGCTGAGTGTTGGAATCCCGAGCAATGCCGGGCCGGGAAGCCTGGACGCCCTCGCTCTCCGACGTGCGACCCCTCGTAGATGTTCCATTGATCAGCTCCTTGCCCTTGGCCGAGATCTGGTAAATGGCATTCTTGGTGGGCTGGAAAAGGGTGCTTCCAGGGTACGTCGCCATGTAGGTGCGGTCTTGCGCGACGGCTTCCATCAGCTCATATTCGACAAAGAGCGAGGCCATCTCGACCGTCTCCCTCCTGTCAACCGTCGTGCAGCAGTCCATGAGCCAGTCGGTGGTGGCCTTGCCCGTGAAAGTGTCCTTGTACGTCTTGCCTCCGACCTTGCGCTCGCTTGCCATCTTGACGCCGGTCAAGCCGTCCCGGTAGTCGTTGAGCGACTCCGAGTCCGCCGAGCTGACGCTCGACTTGACGTTGAGGCCGTTGACGCCGATGAATCTCCTGAAGATGACCTCGATCGAGGATCGATCGCTAACAAGCTTGTCCGTCTGGCTATCCCGCTCCAGGATCACAAGTTGACATATCGCCGGGCCGATGAGCTCCGCGACTTGCTTCTGCTGAATGCCGTTTCTTGAGCAGAAGCGGTCCAGGATGCAGATTCCCTTGGGAGTAATCTGCCAGACCGATCCCTTCATCGTATAGACCTGCTGATATTTGCCATCTGCAGACTCGATAAACCGGGCCTCCAGGAACCGCTGACAGATGGAGCGGGCCATGTCCTTCGCCATGGAAAAGGTGGTCGTGGTGGTCGTCGTCACGATTCGCGACGGGTCTTTCGGATCCGGCATGCGATTGGACTGTGAAAACTTCAAAGATCCGAGGTTGTTGATGGCATCTTCGGAGAGGAATGTGTGCTCGACCTTTGTCAAGCGCACACGATGCGCGGACAAGGGCAGCAGACTGACAATCAGTGTGGAGAAGAGGTCTTTGAAATCCTGCCAGGATCTGTGAGCACGTCAACTTGCTAATGGGTAGGGCGGGGGAGCGCTGTCTGGTTGGGACATTGAACCAATCGCACTCAGATCTCACCTTAGTGAAAGGCCTATCGTCATCCGTCATGCGGAGCAACCTCGACGAGGTTTGGTGCATCTTGTTGTCTAGGCGCGGGAGCAGGACCGGAGGTGGTCGGTTGGGGTCCGTATCTGTGTACGGTTGTGAGGGAGGAGTGCGGGAAGATGGAAACTGCGGACTGATGGGAGTGGTGGAGTTGGACGACAGATTCGAAAACGAATTCTGGGTGCTCAAAGAGTTTGGGCCGATTGAAAGACGGCTCAGCGACTGGCGAGGTCGAATTCTGGGATCTGAGGTGCCGGTGAAGGCGCTCTGAGTCTTGTCCAAGGCCGCTGCTGCAAATGCGAAAATGCCACCGGGCTTCTGAGTCTTGCTCAGCGAGCTGGTGGAGGGGGTGGGGTGGTGGTGATGTTGATCCCTCAGATTGGCCGAGGCTTGGGTGGTGCTGCGGTCCTGGGGAAGCTCTGCGACAGAAACAGATCGTCGAGATGTATGAGCGCCGTCCTGCGTGGAGTAGGTGGTGTTTGCGTTGGACAGTGGTGGTGCGTGAATGGGCGTCGAACGGGTAGACTGTGAGACTGCGGCCATCTAACGCAGAGAAGGGGGGGGTCAGTGATGATTAAAAGGAAAGGTGAGACAAAAGGCGGGACGAAAGGACGTCTGCGAGACGACGCAGGTATATGTGCGCATGTATGCGATGGAGTAAGTGTAGGGGTTCGCAGGCGGCAGGATGGGAATAAAAAGAAGTCAAGGCCGCTCGACCTCCACTTCCGGACGACTAGGAACTGCCTAGTAAGTCGCAAAGCATGAGTAGGTACGTACAGGCTACAGACAGACAGACGGTCATGTAAATTAATGGGAGAGGGGAACGCAAAAATGACAAGGTCAGGAGAGCCGAGAAGAAGGAGAGTCAGGTACAGGGCCAGAGGCCGTGGGGAGTGACTCTGCATGAGTGAGTGAGTGAACGAGCGAGTGGCAGATGTGGGTGGTGGTGGAGGGGCGGCGGCCACGAGCCAGGGCGTCACCATTGCAGGGAACCGTCGTTCTCTGGGCGGTGGGTGGGTGCTCGGCGATGAGCTAAGGAGCGGGACCACCGCAGCTTGCAAGGGTTGTGCGTGCAGATGTACCGGTACAAGCCCGCCGAAACCTGACGGCCTCGCTGCGTTCCCTGGTACTCAAGCCCAATTCCCGAGATGGAGCCACGAGAGAAAAGTGGAGATGGTCATCCGCCGTTAAACACAAAAAAAGAAAGCCTCCCTTTTTCTTTGCTTTTTTCTTCCCATTCTTCGCTCCTCCCATGCTCCATGCTCGGTGTGCTTGGTGTTATGTCCGGGGCACACGCCGCTCGTGGGCAAGAAATCCGACAAGAGATTTGTCAAGACTGTCCTGGCCACCAAAGCACGCGAGCTCCGTCTCACATAAAGAGGCGCCCTGGGCAGTACTATCCGTAGGGCTCAGCGGTGTTCCCACAGGGCAATAGGAACTTGATGAAGGTACCATGTTCCCTACGCGTAGTGCTGACGCTCGCTCTCCCAACGCTCCAAGGGTCTTGAAGTTGAAACACGGCAGAGGATCACCGTCAGGCATCTTGCTTTTTGTCCCACAAAATGAGGTTGCCTTGTCACCCCACAGCAGAAGCGTCTTGTTGGAAGCACTTGCTCAACGGGCAAATGCTATCTGAGACAGATGACTTGCCTATGAGTAGATTATTGCCTGAGGACTTGTTCACTAGAATCATCATGCGATTCGTGTCCGATGCATTGACACTTGCCCAAACGGCCAAGATTGTCCCTATCGTTGTGAATCAAGCAGCGTAGAGGGAAGAGGAGAAGGACAATCGACAGTGACGGGCTTCAGTTCGTGAAAATGTATGTTTGCAGACAACCTAGCTGCCCTCTAGGTAGGTACTACGTGCGTAGGGCACTGGCTGGCTCGGAGAAGAGGAGTGGAGGCTCCGTGAGAAAGCACCTTGCCAAGAGCGGAAACAAGCGGTCACACCGGAGAATCGTGACGGCCCGTGGATAACAAAATACTATCTAACAAGATAATGAAAGGTAAAAAGCAACAAGGGAACTACCTAGTGCTAGGCGCCAAGTACCGGGAATCGCCAATATCGGGGAGTTGTGCTCGTGTGCGGATTTGCAGGCACAATTAGAAGGTGAGGTAAACAGGCAAATATGTCACCCAGAGACTGGCTGTAACAGAAGACATGATCCGCAGTGCATTGCGATTGCAATGGCTGGGCCAGTCCATTCTCAGACAGCCAGGTGATGACGGCGTGCCTCTCTGTCCTGCTACAGCTGCAGGTGTTGTCCTGTGTATGGTCCCCTCTGCCCTGCCTTGCCGAAGGAGGATTTCCTCTAATCAGGAGAAGGCGGGGTGGGATGAAAAAAAGTGCATGACTGCATGGGCTGCATGGAGTGCGTGTGGTCTGCATGGCCTTGCCTGGCTAGCATGGAACTTGTGGAAGCAGAAAGTTTCACCGCATGGCCAACCAAGATCTGCGCGTGGCTTTCAGGGATGCTGGCCTCAAGGCCAAACCCTTCTCGGCCTGGGACCCCTGCAGCCACGCTCGCTAGGGCGTGTTTACCCTGCAGCATGATCCCTGCTCGAGTGACTCCCACGAGGCGCGGCTTGTCAGAGGTCCCTGTCAGATTCCGACCCCTCACCCACACCCACACCTGACGCAGCCATCAAGCACCACCACCCACGCCAACTCAGTCTCTCGTGTTCGCTTCACTTGGCGGTGGACTACCTCCATAGGTTGGTACCTTGCCTAGCCACCCAAACTGCACAGGGCCAACTAGCCCAGCAGTCGAAAGCAGGAGTAGGTATGTGTATACCTGTCATGCGAATGCCGTGGGGGTACAGTGGCACTACTCTGAGCAGGTAGATGATAATGAGGAAATGTTAGGCTCCTTGTCCCTGCTTGTGCCAAACATCCATCCAGCACTTCATGTCCCTATCCCTTGGCGAGACTCCCTTGAGGTTGTTGTGCATCGCTGAGGAGGAGAAGAAGCACCCAGTTGAAAAGGCTAGTGAGGTGCATAAACGCCACAACCAGGTGCCACTGGGCCTGAGCCAAAGGCAAGGAATAAAAGCTTGGGAATAAGAGATAAAAAAAAATTCAGAAAAAGCAATAGCAAGATAACAGAAGGGAGCACATTGCGGAGAAAGCATGGCGAACCGACGCCTTGGATAGAGCTCACGAGAAGCGGATCAAGAGAAGCCCTGCACGTACCGTGAACTCAAAGGCACATGCCTGGCAAGACGCTTCGCATCGATTGATCGAACTGATTGATTGATTGACTGCCGGAATGAGGCGGCGGTCCTGGTCTGGAGCTGGCCTATGGAACGACACAACTCGCAGCTCGTTCGCGGCTCGTAGTCGGGGATCCCTAGTGCTCACAATCGCTCGTTGGGGGCTGGTCCTGGTGCGACTCCCGTGACAGCAGATGGGTTCAGAGGCCGGTCTGGTCCCGACACTCCAACTAGGTATGGAGTATTGGTGAGAGAGAGGGCGCTTGGATCGAGGGTTGGTCGGTGGGTTGCAACTTTTTCGTGACGGAGGGGCGCTTGGTTCAGAAATATTGCTTGTTGGCATATGTATCCGGGCTGTTCCTTCCTTTGGTGCGGTTGGGATTCCGATCATCGACCGAAGCAAGATCGTACTTTCTTTTTGTCTTTCGCTTTCTTCTTTCCTTCAGATGGCTTGTGAGGAACAGTTTCGAAGGCACTGGATGTCCAGATCATTCATTTGACAAACCGAGCGCGCCCTCGGAATCAGAACATCCTGGGGTTATGTACTTGTATGTGTGTACGGAGGTATTCTCCAACATTCTTAGCGACCCTCCTGGACTTGATCCCCTGCTCACCCCCTCTCCGGGCCTCCAGTATCCCCTCTAGGCGAGGCCTCTCCACCTCGCCTATCCTTTTTGGCCTTGGGCGAGCTGTCATGGACAGCCCATTAGTGGTTGTTTGTGCTCGTCGGCGCTGTTGGGCAGCGAGCACAACATCCATAGGTGCTTTAGTTAGATGCCAATGCATGTGATGAAGCCTGATTAACGATGCGCGCGCCCGTACGGCCGATGAAGACATCACGGTACTACAGCACCTCTTCTCATTAGAGTTCACGGATCGTTTGCAAGAGTGTTGTCATCAGTCGTGATCGGCATTGGCAAATAGAACTCTACGACGTAATTGGAAAGGGCGGTCGACTAAGAGAAGTGATCGGCGGGCTCAGGCAATCCAGTCAAGCTCATACCCAGCTGAGTGCATGCTTTACCGCTCAAGTGAGTTGACGGACTGCTAACAGAAGTACTTGACTATCTATCAAGCCCATCGGATTTAGGTAGTGGGATAGCTCTTCCGAGTTCTTAGGGCAAGGATGTGACAGGGATATTGATTGTTAAGATTGAGGTAGCTCCTGATGAACTTCCCGTCAACCATTCAGACACCCACTTGCCGCTCTACTGTGCTTGTACTTGGCTCGTGCCGGTCTACAATTGCAGCTGTGAGGGAAGCAACGCAGGCAGGCAGGCAGTACTGTCATGAGGCAGTATTTGTAGTATCGCCTAGAGGTCAGGACTTGTAGACAGGAGGTTTGGTCGGCGCCGAACACTACTTCGCACCTGTCCCGGGAATGATATGGAAATTGAAGCGCCCCCTTTTGGCCCCAGTCGCCTCTCTCCCTCTCTAGGAACAACCTGAGTAACTAGACCGGCCTGTCACATTTCTTTTTTTCCCTTTTCCCATGGGTCGGCCTAAGCAGCACAGCATGTTATCCACGTGGGACCTGGCGTCCCGATTTTTTCAGAGGGTTTCCCCAGCGCATCCCAGCAAAACACATGCAGAGATTTGTTGCAAGAGAACGGCGGTGGGCCGGTCCGAAACATGGCGAATGCGGTGCAAGTCATCTGACAGCGAATCGGAGGCTCCATGGCTCCATTCTGGTTTAGGTAGTCAAACAGCAGAATTGATTCACCGAACTAGGCCAGGCATGCCCCTTTCGCATAGGAAAGGATCGGCAGCCACTGCGAGAGGGGAAGATACCTAGCTAACGTTACCTGTACCTTGCTGACCAGGCGGACCTATTGGCTCTGGGCTGGGAGAAGAGTTCCTCGGCTCGTCAGAGCGACGACGCGGAAAAGCACCGGTGCAGCCAAAGAGGCGCGCCAAGACGAATCTACTTCGTACCTAGCAGCAGAGGCCGTTCTGCACGTCGACCAAAGAGGATAAGAGGAGAACCCGGTCACCGAGTTTTCAGCACACTACGTAGGATCAGAACATACAAGTAGGTACCTACTCCGTAGATTGCCCTACACTGGAAACTCCTGTTCATTTGGCCCCAACATACTCATGGCTGTATGTATGCGACAGTGGCTAATCGGCAAAAAACAACCTGCAAAGTTGATGGAGTGAAGTCAAGGGCAGCATGAGCAGGCAGTCGACCCAATGGAGTCCGCTGCCCCTGTGGCCCTTATTTTTGTGCAAGATCAATTTCCGCTTGGAAATATCCGATCGTGATGCAGTGGGTCTGCTGAACCTCACCCTCGTTCATAGGCGGGTTGGACCTACTTGTACGGAGAACGTAGGAAGGGTGTGGGTAGGGGAAGAGGGAGGCTGGCTGGCTGTGTAGTTAGTGGTTGGCCAGAGAGCAAAGTACGGAGAACGGAGTACTTGTAGAGAGACCTTGGGCGAAGGCTTCAGAGGCCGTCGCAAGAGTCGCGGATAAATTGCAATCTCAGTCGTTCGGGGGGAAAGAAAGCGTGGCTAAGTGGGGATTGCCACGTGGTGGGCCAAAGCCACATTACTTGTACTTTTTTTGGCCCGAGCCCTGGAAGCTTGGCTGAAGAGTTGAGTTGTACTTGTAGGGAGATTGGAAGATGAGCCCTTCACTAGGTACCTACGGAGTAAGTTATTGTGCAAGTAGTCAGGCAGTCAGTCGGCACTCGCAAGGACTGCCCAGAAGGGATATCCTCAAGCGCGCGACAAAACACACAAGCTCGTTGTAGAACATTCTGCCGTGACTACTTGTACCTAGCCTCTTCGTCTAGAGGGAGCCGTACCCTGCTTCTGTTTCAAACTGCGACTAGCCGGGCGGAGAACCACTCTCCTCCTCATTAAAACGCTGGCGGTACCGCGACTTGCGCGACGCACGCGTGGCAAGGCAGTGAGGGATGAGGAACCCTGGATAAAGCCACATGGCATGAGCGTGGCATGGCCCATTCCAACGCCCAACTTTCCCACTTTTCTGCCCGTTGCCGTCTCCGTCGTTATTCCGACATCTGGAGACGCTTTCCAGGATGTGACGCGGCAAAAGAAGAAAAAGAAGAAGAAAAGAAAAAAGACCGTCGACCAATCCGGAATGTTTCTAGATCGTTTCCTTTCATGCCGGCTTTCGCCTCCTGGAAGCATACAAGGAATGCCTAGGTAGTTAGCTGAGCCCATGAGATTGACATCACTTTCCAACACCGCCATGTTGGTGTTGATATTGTCAACAACAGTCGTACTAGAGCTGGCCATAGTTCTGAGAGGACCTCGCTTTATGAAGTCACACCTCCTTGGGTGGGATCAATGACGATAATATGCAGCTCCAAGGCCATCATGGGCCGATCTCAGGGTCAAAGTCCATATTCCGTGCATACGCACGACACACTCACACCAGGCACAAGCAGGCCAACAATAAAACAAGTCTCCATCCTTTGCGCTCTTGCGGTCCATTTGCTCGACCCCCGCTTGATTCGTAAATTTGGGATTATTTTCCCTCTTGTCAAATTTCGGATCAAGCGAAGCACCGGGGGCACCTCAATGCTCACTGACCCCCATCTAGGGATGGACCGCCCCCAGTCAGCCTGAGACTTTTCTAGAAGAATACAAGGGCCCTTTTGATTAACAACATCCACTGGGGGGGCCCGATGACCCTTGGTATGATCCGATCCTGTCACCGTACAGCGAAGAAGCAAACCGTAGGAATCAATGCGGGGCCCGTCAAAGAGGAGATCTGGATTTAGCCAAGTCTGTTGCCCTACGGAGTATTCCTACCCAGCTACCTTGTCCTTGTACACTTGTGCGCATGGTCCTTTTCCCTTGAGCTTATCAAAGCCAGATGCCGCTGCTGTCTTGCGGGGCTTGCAGGCATGGATCGTACGACGAGGCCGAGGCCGTTGCATCCCGTACACAGCCCAGCCCAATCACCGCTCCCCTGATGATCAAGTCCGTGGATCCCTGTGGCTAAGACGTTAGAAAAAAGGTTGGGATAATTCTCGCTCTTGGCATTGAGCTTTGCCTCTAGTTCAGAAGCCGCATGCCACTGCGCGGACATGTACGTACGTACACGTTGTCCGCGGCTGACACACACGGCCTGCCTAGACTGAGATCCGGGTCCGGCCTCCGCGCCAAGACTCGTGCTTCGGGAGTGTGAAAGAGTAGAAAGTCACCATACATTGACCGCCGTTCTCCCAGCGCTGGGTTCGGTAACCGGTACATAATCTGCAGTCTGCTGGTTGCTTTCCCTAGCGCGCCGATCAGCTCTGATTGCCGTCATGGCTTGCCTTGACTAGGCAGGACTTTCCGTGTAGTTGGCATCACAAGCAGAACCGACACACCGGATGGAATTGCGAATGCGTGTGGGTACTACGCATGACGGGAGAGAGACGGAGCTGCTAGTTTACAAGTAGACACCAACCACCGCTGTAAGTGCTCCTTCATGGTACACGCCGCCGGTTGATCTATCCCATCTGTTCGCCCCCCCGTGCCGAGGAAGCTGACCAACCTCGACACTCGCCTTCATGGTGCCTCTGATACTATGCCTCACCCCGTCACGGGGCTCCTCTATAGCCGTCCACCACTGCCACCACCTGAACGCGATGCATAGCTGCAAATCAACGAACATCGGGCCATTGACCTCGGCCCCAAACCTTACTGTGCATTGGCGCTGCTTCCATCACGCCCTTTCCACCTGCGAGATGCATACACCGATTGGTATGTGATTACTACGTTTTTGTTATACTTCCTCGTCCAACCTCTCGTTGCACTAACCTCCCTGCAAACTGGTACCGAGGACCGCTCCCAACGGTCACCTCCTGCTGCTTCCTTACACCCCGCTGTCAAAAAACCAACACTATGATATGCATATGCGCCAGTCATCGTGAGCCTCATACACCTTTCGTAAGGGATCCTCCACGGTGAGACATGTCGCTGCTCCTCGACCCCTCTGACGCGGCAGAGTTCATCGGCCGCCCACGCCTGCGCCCTGCCGTGTCCTACTTCCCGTCGCACAGCTTCCTTTTTGCGTGTGTTTTTGATTCAGCTCCCAGCGTTGATCCAGTGCATTTTTTTCTTTCTTTCTTTCTGAAGCCGAGGCATTGTCCTGCCCAATTTCCATTCGTATCCCCCGTGCCGGTGCCACGTCACATTGACGGAGGCTTGGGGTGGGAAATCGCGTCGCACGGCAGATGCCGTTGGCATTCAACACGTGGGCTTGGGGGGTTGCAGAGGGAGCCGCGCCGGGCTCACCCACCCAACCAACCCCTTCCGTTCTCTTGTGCCGCATGTGCCCAACTCCTTCCCGAGTCATCTCGCATGACACGGCGCGCTTTCGCGACGTCGCGCAGTGTTTTCGATGCCGTGCTTCGAGTTGCCGAGACCTGGGGGGAGCCGGTGACCGGGAGGGATGGAGTTGAACGAGCGAGCGAGACGCGCGAAGAGGGCTTGTCAAACTCTGCACATGCGCGCTAGAGGTGCACATGCCTAGGATGGCGGAAGTCTGGGAGATGGCTCGTTTTCTGCTTCGTGAAACCTTGCTTGGAGTCAGATCAGAGATCCGTAGCCCGTGTCCGTGTTAAGGCCGTTAGTTCGGAGCCGCTCGAGTGCCGGTGCGCGATGCCGTCCCCACCCGCGACTTGTCCCTCGGCGGTGCGCGAACATGCTTGTTTCGACGTTTCGTGGAGGTGGTGTAGGGGATGACTAATTTTTTGACATGTTTCCCCGTTCTTTTCGAGGTTCTTCCGCTCAGGGTACGGCAGGATACTCGTACTTAGGGCGGCTCAAAGGGGCACTAAAGCGAGGTCAGTTTAAGTCAAGATGAATGATAAACTTTGCTTCACACCATCATGACTGCTCGCCGCCGGCTCCCGCAGGCGATGACTTACGGCGAATATGAGCAGCCAATTACAGCCCTCCTCGGCGTGAAGGCCGCGTGCTTGTGCTCCTTAGGCGGGACGACACCCTCTTCTCCACGGCCCTCGCTGTAGTTTTCCCTTCGGGAAGAACACCGGCCTCAAGAGCTTGGGCGGTCCATCAAACTTTGTCCCTGCAGCCACACCTCCGGATAGCATGCAGGCTTGGCATTATATCCGGCGTCCAGGGAAAGATAGGCTAACGCTGCCGTCGGAGCCAGATTCTCGAGAATAATCGGCCAAGAGCAGACACCGGATCTCGCCCGGGGTTTGCGTTTGTGTCAGGACTCAGGAGGGGTGGAGCTCCGCAACTACGGTGACGTATCCGGTGCTCGGCATGCCGGAAGCTCGGAGTTCGACTCTTTAGTCTCTCAATGAGCAGCACACCCTCGTCATGCGTCGGGTACTTCCGACTGTCCTGCAGTATCGCAGAGGGAAAAGATACGGCGGCCTAGATTGCCCTTATGTCAGTTTAGTAGATGATATCTCATTTCAGAAGAATTACACACAAAGACCTGACAACTAATGTCGAGTAATTACATCCTGGACGAGTCATGGGTGAGATTACAAAGCTGAGGCTGTCATGAAGATGCTGACTGCAACCGGTAGCATGCTTCCCCAGTCTAAGTCTTTCTTATTGATCCGTCTCTCTTGGTAATGCATATCAAAAAAAAGCAACTCAACCTGGAGGGTTGTTTGCCGCACTCGAGCAATGCCCGAGTTTCCCCCTACCATACTTCCAATCCTCAGCGTTGTTCAACCGAGGATTATTGATTACACCTTGTGTTGGGGGCCTCGAAGTGAGCAATGTTCTTGGGGAAAGTATTTTTTTAAATAGGTGGTATCTCTATAAGAAATAATAGAAATAGCTGGCAAGAAACAGCAATCACATCTTCTGTAAAACTAGTTATGACACCCTCGGAACACGAATAGGAAAAGAATCCTCGGGGTTCACTTCACTCCACGAATCGGTCTTGGAAACCCCATTATCTTCACAACCACCACACTTCCACCATAGAACTATGACAAGAGAGAGCATGGAAGGGCCTCTAGACAGCCTTTCCAGCATCCTTCCTCTCATCCGACGAGCCACCGTTGCCAGCAGCATCATCTCCAGCAAGGACTCCGCCGCCGTGCTGAGCAGCGTAGTCGTTGTCGTCCGACAGCTCCTCGAGCGTCTTGCGCTTGGTCTCCTTGATCAGCAGCGTCGAGAAGCAGCCGCAGAGCATGAAGAGCGCGTAGATCTCGAGCACGTGGTCCATCCAGGGGGCCGGATTTTCCTTGGTGGCGCCGCGCGTGCGCAGCGGCGCGATGGCGCCCTGGCCGATGATGCTGCCGATCTTGCCCGAGGCGGCCGAGATGCCGTGCGAGGTGGAGCGGTAGCGCGTCGGGAAGCACTCGCCCGGCACGATGAAGGTGGTCGAGTTGGGCCCGAAGTTGAAGAAGAACTGCGCGAGCACGAAGAGGGCGAGCTGGCCCGACGAGGACAGGTGGTTGTAGGCGAAGCCGAGTACGATAAAGATGATGGTTAGCAGGCCGAAGCCGCCGAGCTGGATGGGCTTGCGGCCGATGGTGTCGACCGTCGCGACGGTGAACCAGTAGCCCGGGACGGCGCCGGCGAGGACGAGGATCAGGTTGCCGACGGCCGTATTGTAGAGGATCTCGTAGGTGTTGTGGGCGTCCTTGGTCGAGTAGCCGATGATGCTGAGGATGGTGGCGTTGTTCAGCGAGACACCATAATAGGCGATATCGAGGAAGCACCACGAGAGGGCAGTACTGTGTGAGGGGGTGGTGGTTAGCATGTTTACTAATGTTGCCCCTGTTTCCAGGTGTAGGAGATCGTAGACTTACCCAGCCAGAAGCATGCCATTCTTGGGGATCGAGTAGTGACGGATAAAGTCACGCCAGCTTGCCTGTTGGACGGCCATCTGCTCGGCAGCAGCCTTCTTTCCAGCGACGCGGGAGACCTCGTCGGGGTTGCCCTGGCGCTTCCCGTTGATGTACGCCTTGACATCGTCGTCGGCCTGCTCGACATCCCTTGCGATATCGAAAGTGTATCGTGGGGTTTCCGGAATAGTAAGACGATAGTAGAGTGCGATGCAGCCAGGAACGGCACCGAAGCCGATGAGTATCCTCCACATCTTGTCGACGGCGACGGCGCAGTCGCCGTTGCAGTTGGCAAGTTTGGTGGACGGCTCGAGCGACTTCTTGAAGCCAAGGGTGATGAAGAGCATGACGAAGGCGGCCGTGAGCTGCCCGAGGCCCTGCATTGCAAACACAGCTCCCATCATGGCGCCTCTCCACTTGGTTGTCGCGAATTCAGAGGTGATGATACTGGATAGGGGGTAGTCACCTCCGATACCGACGCCCTGCAGACATGTCAGCCACGCTCTTTCTCGATACTTTCAAGCCTGTCGCAATCATAGAATCAGAGGTGAATCTCGCAAGGCTTATGTTTACCATTATAACACGCCAGAAGATGACTACGCCGATGACGTCCATGGAAGCAGAGCCGCTGGAGAGAGCCTGTGCCAGAGTTGCGAAGATGATAACGATGAGTTCGAGACCGTACATGCGTTTTCGGCCGAGCTGTTTGAACGCAGTCAGACATGGATCTTCCATGAAAATGTATTTTGATTCACCATTGGACACTTACAATATCTGCCAATGCACCAAAGCCGAGCTGACCGACGACAGTGCCGGCCGAGGTGGCCAACTTGATGGCTGTATCGCTGTTTGTGGGCATCGTGCCCACTCCTGGATAGTATACTATACCCAGCATCGTGGTCAAGAGTGACACAGCAAAGATATCATACTGCCACGCAAATCAGTGCATGTTTCCCTCTGAGTTTGTGACTCTAAAAGCGTACGGAATCGGTGAAGAAACCAACGCCGGCAACAACAATAGCCCTGACGTGGTACCAGCCAAAAGGCGCCTTGTCAACTTCGGCAAGAGCAAGGCGACGGCGTTCATTAATATCATGAACATGGAGAAAGTCATTGTGAAAGTTGTGGTAGGCATTGTTCCCGCCGGACGTTTTGGTGGCCGCCTTTGATGCAGCCGGAGCTGGCCCCGTGGGTTCACTCATGTTGGATGGATAAGAATTTGAAGGTGTTGTGATGTGTCTACCCTTCTCAAAAGTAATAAAGAGTACTTATGAGGACAGGCCTTGTATGGTGAGATAAGCAGTCCTCCGCCGTAGAAGAGGGATTAAGAAGGGGGTGAGGTTTGGATTCAAAAAGTTGGAATAGCAGAACGCAGGGTTCCCGAGAGGAGGGTTACAGTCTAATATACCAGTCGAGCTCGCATACTCATACAATAGACATATGATCGAGAGCAGGGATCAGATTGGCCACCCGTCACCGAGCAAGATCCTGGCTTCCATCCCTTTCCCGTAGAAGGTTGACCTGCATATCAACCTGGACATGGCATCTCAGCTGCACCTAGGTAGACGCCCATACCGAAGTGCAGATAATACCCACGCACCCACAAGCGAACATAAAGTCAATCCGGACTGCCCGTCTGGTGATGAAGTGGGTCAGTGACAGGTATCAATGGTAGCATTAGCTGTTACATATGGCTGGAAAGGGCCTTCTGGGCCCACGAGTGGTCGAGGCGCACCTGGGGTCAAACTGTCGAATGTTATTATTGGGCCTACATCAGCAGAGACATATCAATAGATTCAAACAGCGTAGGAATCTCTATCCTCATCCGTGAAAACGATCCAGCTGCTGGCCTAAACCTGAATACAAATTCCCTGGGATTTGGGCCCCGGAGCGCTCGGGATCGGGACAGGCGGTTGTGAGATCTAACCAAGCTTTCTGGGCAATGTCTGGGCGATGCATTGGCGATGAACTAGGAAAGAGTAGGCTTCCACGATGCTCTTGGCAACACGTCCATGGCGGATCAGCTATACCAAAGATGTCACTCGGGCACCCTGGTCTCGCGGTTGACTCCTGTTCAGTGCCCCAGACCTTGGCTTATTTCCCTCACTTATCTAGATCTTCTAGTCTTCTTTTATCTGCGTCACTTTCCTTATGATTCTTGAGATGTCTTGGATAGTAGAGGCATTCAGAAGAAGGGACCCTCTCCTGTCTAAGCATGAGCAGTAACCTTATTCAGTCCCACGCGGATGCAGTCGTGGCATAAGTAGTAATGAACGCTTGACGGTTGGCTCCAAGATGGGTAGTGACCATATCCCTGATCACCCTGATCACCTCCTCCCTCCCAGCTCGAGGTTGCCCATTATGATGGGGGCCGGACACTGGGGGTGGGTCGTCGCGGCAAGTGGACTCAATGGCCGGGAGTGGGGCCGCGCAACCCTCCGGACTTAGCGCCTCGATCCCCGGCGACGAATCGGCTGAGAAGAGCCGCGCACGTTTCAGCCTCTCAGCCTCCAGTTCGCCCAATTACATATATGCGCACACACCCAACATACGACACGACAAAGCAACCTCCACTCGTCTCCTGTCATCCTCCCGACGCCTCTTCGCCTTTCTGGCTCTGTACATCAATAGGAGGAGGAGGAGGAGGAGGAGGAGGAGTGAAGCGTGCCCATTGTTGGTGGCGGGTCCAGTTCCCCGAGGTAGAGAACCTATTTGAGAACTCCAAGCTTCTATTTACGAAGAAGGATATTCCCGCGCATACGGGTTGGCGTATTGGACGCCCTGTTCAAACGAGTGTCACATCTGCTGCCAGCCGCACAATTGCATTTGCACCTGATGCTGAGTGGTTCGGCCAACCGCGATGCACAATATGAGCACGAGTTCCGAATGTTTCGTGTTCTAGAACACCCGTCATGCAATTATTCTGCTCGCCCGACTCTCAATTCAAAAACTGCCAACTCTGGGGAAATGGTGGAAGTAGTTCGGCATCAGCGTAGCTTTTCCACTCGGATCTTTCCACAAAGCCACAACGAGTCATAGTCTGATCTTCACGGCTAGGTACCTGTCTCTTTCTTGGCTTCGAGACTAGGTTCCACTAGATATATCATGTTCATTCTTCATGATAATTTTGTTGTCCTCCCTGACGCCGCTAATTTGATAGAATTGGGAAGTTGCTGACGCCCAACTCTGGTTCACCAGGCAATTCGCAATGGAGGACCAAGAGCTGCTGCGTTTCCCGCCTTGCAAGAAATAGGTATCCAGATCACCGTGAGGATAAGTCTCGTGCTCGCCAAGCCAACTCGGCGCCTTAAGCATTCAGACGAGGAAGACAAGCTCTCTTGGCGATCACGAAAACGCCTTCTCCTTCTGCAGCCCGTCTTGGCGGGCAGAGCGATTACTCACAGCGCCTTGCTTGGTCCTTGGCCTAGCTGCGCCGAGATGCACGAGGCTCTCCTGGCAACACCCTTTCCTCCAGGTTCCATTGCCAAGGCGCTTTCGGCGCAGCCGTCAAGCCTGCTCCACACCACCAACAGCACGCGGACGCTGTTGCATCCCGGCTACGAAGGAACATCAGGATGATGCTGCATGACCTGTGCAAGAATCCAGCTCGACGTGATCTCTCAGCTCGTGGTATCGACCCAGTCATTGGATCGTTATACCTCGACCACACGCTCGTCGTCGTCCAGTTCCTCGACACGTGTTGCAGAGCTCTGGTCCTCTTCGTCCCTCATCAGCACCTGGACTAGCCTCTCACACGCCTCCTGAACACCTTCGTCCTCAACCCGGAGATGAGTTTCGCGGATGATAGGATAGACTTTGACCTCTCGCATAAGGTCCCTGCCTTCCCTTGTAGTGCTTAGTAGCATCAAGGTCTCCACATGAGTCTGCACGATATTGTTGTCTGGATCCCGCTTCTTATCCGGGGGCAAGAGCTGCAGATCTGGCAACATATCCATCATATCATCTGGCTCGTAGGTCTCGTCTCCCATGATGGGTAGGAGAATATAAGGAAGGATGTTGATCTCATCTTCCGCGAAAAACGCAGGGTGAGAAGGCACATCAAACGCCACATTCTTGATGGTGCTGGCGACTCCTTTCCTTCTGATGTCGGATTTGTGGTCGGTGAAAACTCTCAGCTTGGTCAGCGGCACAGAATCGTCGTATTCTTGCTTCTTGACAAAAAACTGGCGTATTTCCGGGTGCTTCGCAAGGTCAGCGAAAAGATAAGCAAGGTAGTCAAAATCGGCATGTTTGTTGAAGGACCCATCGTGGCCCTTCACGAACAGATCCAGAAGCTGGTTGAGGACGAGCTCGTCTGACTTCAGAGTCTCCGGTGCAGCCTGTTTCCGACGTATTATGTTCTTTAGCCCATCCCATTTGGCAAGGTTGGCCAATAACATAGCCAAGAGGTTGGCATTGGGCTCGGACGGATTCTGCCAGCAAAGGTCAGTGGTCAGCTTAAAAGAGGGTGGAAGGCAAGACTTACTGTTACACGAGACAAGATCAGCTCCAGAAATGAGTCATCCTTCGCCAGATTCTCTAGAATCTCATTATCCGCAGAGAGGTTGACCATGATGGTGATTGCATGCTCTGCAATTTTCTAACGAGTGGATTAGAAGGCTGTAAAGACTTGGGTAGACTCGGGAAGGACTTACAGGATGATCCCGTACCAAGATCTTCAAGTTTCTCACAGGGACAAGCTGGTTGACCTTGAAGATAGCGGGCTGGACGGTCGAGTACGGCACAAGATTCTCGACTGCAAGCTGCCGGATCTGAGGGTTGGGGTGGGCTATGAAGCCGACGAGCTGTGACCAGTTGTTTAGCTTGATGCACGGGAGCACCATATGACGTGGAGCACGCACCTCTTCTAATTCCGTAGGCATTGTGAGACAAGTCTTGATCTCACAAATTGACAATGTGTCTCTCCACTATGGTATTCGTTTCTCTTTCAAGGATACACTTATGGTTCCCAGCAATAGCTGTAAAGGCCGTGAATTCGGTGTCCGGGATGGTGATATCTCAGGCAATAAATAACTAACAATGCCACCGCAGCGGAGGGGCGCCGAATAAATTCCTTATCAAAATTTTTGATAGTGGGATAACTTTCTTATCCGAATGAACCTTGGAAGATTCTGCCACATTCAGGCTCCTTCGGCCAATAGTAATTGGTCGATAGGGGATCTGCCCCCGTAATTGATAGAGGGTTGCAGTGCCGACCCCACCTGAATTTCCAAGTTGGCACCAGAAAATCTCAGGTGCACACGCACTTCAACTCCGCCAAAATTTTTGTGAGACCGCCTTTCGTCAGGCCCGTGATAGTCTCGAATTGTACCGGACAAAGCTCAATTCACAATGCCCAAAGCGACCACCCCTACGTCTGCCCGCCAGGCTGGCCGGCGGCACAACCCTCTCGAGAGCGACATTCTCGCTACGGGCGTCCTGCGCCAAAAGGCACCCAAGCGCAAATCGAAGAGTGACGAGGACGCCGACAACCAGTTCATCGAGTCCAAGGCCTCGAAGAAGATTCTACAACTTGGTCGCGAGCTCGCTGACGAAGATCGCGCGGAACCAGAGCCTTCCATATCAGCACCAGATGCTTTCGGTCTGGGCTCCAGATTCATCGAGGAAGACGAGCAAGAGGGAGGAGCTTTTGAGGATGATGAGGCTTGGGGAGACGAGGACGAGGTTGTAGAAGAGATTGAGGTTGACCCCTCTGACCTCGAGACCTTCAACAAGTTTCTTGCCAATGGAGAGGATCCTCTGGCGAACCTCCCCGGCTGGGGCGCTGATGCTGCCGCCGAGCCCAGTGCTGGCGGGCAGAACCTGGCCGACATCATTCTGGCAAAGATTGCGGAGCACGAAGCAACACAGGAGGGTCGACAGAATCCCATGGCTGCTGTTGACGACGACTTTGAACTGCCGCCTAAGGTGGTTGAGGTCTATACCAAGTAAGTACATTCAAGCAGTTCTCTGACCCCGTACATCGTAGAGTTACTGACTGGTGTCCTTCCAGGATTGGTATGATCTTGTCACGCTACAAGTCTGGAAAGCTGCCCAAGCCACTTAAGGTTCTCCCCACTGTTCCGCAGTGGGAAGACATTCTCGAGCTTACTCGACCGGACACCTGGACACCCAACGCATGCTATGAAATGACGAGGATCTTTGTCAGCTCCAAACCGATCGTCGCGCAACGATTTCTCGAGATGGTGATCCTGGATCGGGTCCGCGAGGATATTCACGAGACCAAGAAACTGAATGTCCATCTTTTCAATGCGCTCAAGAAGGGGTTGTACAAGCCGAGCGCGTGGTTTAAAGGGTTCCTCTTCCCGCTAGTCGGCTCGGGCACCTGCACGTTGCGGGAGGCTCACATCATTTCGGCCGTTCTCACTCGCGTCTCCGTACCGGTCCTCCACTCAGCTGCCGCGATCAAGGGGCTGTGTGACATCGCCGCGCAAGAGGCATCTGCTGGCACCGAGGGAGGCGGTGCCACCAACATCTTCATCAAAACTCTTCTTGAGAAGAAGTACGCACTTCCCTTCCAGGTCATCGATGCCCTGGTATTTCACTTCCTTCGCTTCCGTAGCGTGGACCCCGCGGCGGTCAAAGAGGGGGATGCCATGTCCGGCTTGACTGGTGGCGGCGGCAACACAAGACAGCTGCCCGTGATCTGGCACCAGTGTCTCTTGGCGTTTGCTCAACGATACCGCAACGATATTACTGAGGACCAGCGTGAGGCTCTCCTAGATCTGCTGTTGACGCATGGCCACCACACAATTGGCCCCGAGGTCAGGAGAGAGCTTCTGGCTGGGAGGGGGAGAGGAGTTCCGCTCGAGCCTCAAGACTCGGCGTTCGATGGAGACGATACCATGTTGGTAGATTGACCGCTGCGTAATCGCAACGAAATCTTCTTACACACGGCGGTGTGATGCATGAATGTTTGGCGTTTGACAGGTCTGGGAAAAGCCTTGGCATGGCGTTGAATTCGGTTGATTTAGACCGGCACCGAGCCGGATTTATTCACAATATTATGATACCAGTGACGAAGTAGTTCCGTCAGTCTTACTATGACATGTTCGCTTGATCCTGATACTTTTTGCCCAAGATCGACTTTCTTTGGCGGTATGGAAGATTCGTGCAAATTGTCCACGGGCCAACAAGAAGGTGCAACCGCAGGATGCTCTTGCCACTTCTTTCAACATAGCGTGAGGCTTTGCGTATCTGACGATGGGAATTTTGACATCATCGCTGGTCCCGGCTCTTCACAAAGCATTACAACGTGCTCGCTCACACACCGTACGACCCTACTACACTTGGTTAGTGATACCTACGTATCCTAAATTCCAGACCTCGACGCATCGCAGTCTGCGTTTCCCACGCCCTTATATTCGATATCCGAGAATGGCTACTGACCTAGGTTGAAATGGTGACCTTTTCCCATCTCAAGAACGCAGGACTTCGCTAATCGAGAGCCACCGAGTAGCTCACTAATACGGCAGACCTTTGTGATAGATGCCTGAAACTCCTACCCTGGGATATGATCCCAATCATATTCGAAAAGCAAGACATAGAAGTATGGTAGACAATGCCACCGGCAAGCTTCCAACACCTTCAAGTCAGGTCTCAACGCCGTCGAGGGGCGCCAGGGACGGCGCTGGCAGCCCGTACGGCGTTGATCCTCCCCGTCCGGCCAAGGACGGCTTCGAATGGGTCTGGTTCCCGGATGGCTACTGGGCCGAACGGCCGGTCCACGAGAAGACAGAAAGCCGCAAGGGCAGCGAGAGCAGGCTCTGGCGATAGTATTCCCGGTCTTCCAGGGGCAAGGCGGATTCTGATGAGCAAAAAGGAGGCACAACGTCGGCGTCCCCCAAGACACCCTTCAAACTCTCTCCTAATCAGGTTTTTGTGCCGCCGCCACCAAGCCCGTACCTGACCGAGGAAGCGCATGTGGCATCGCTACAGCACCCGCCGCCATCGAAAATTCGGCCCACGAGCGTTGGAAGCGATCCAGAAGTACCGTCCTCGCATTATTTCTCCTCCAAGGACGACCTGGAACCGGAGTCCGGGCCGATGCGCGAGCTCTCGACCTCGACGCGAAGAAAGCTCTTTCGAGCGGCCCGGAAGAGGATGGGGGGAAAGTTTAGCAAAAGCAAAGAGGTGCGTTTGGCCGAAAGCTCAAAAGATCTCCGAGCCGCCTTGTTGACCATGTGCTTCCTTAGAAATTGTCTTCGCAAGAGCAAGAGCAGTCCGGGAATAGGGGCGATGATCCAATCCAGGCGCGTGGCAGCGACAACTCGCACACCAGCACTACACTCGATGCAGTTGGGGGCTATTTTGCACAGATCCCTCGAGGCAGGTCGGGAACTCTACAGAGCAAGGATCGCAACACCACCCAGAAGGGAACTTCCAGGCTGTTCGGGAAGGCTCCTTGGCACAAGAGGGAATCGTTCGTTTCGATGACAAGCGCGGGTAGTTCGATACGCGAGATACTCATAGGACGATCCCCGCCTTCGACTCCAATCGGTGATGCCGATAATCCATGTAAGTGCTGTTCCGCACCGCCCACGATGACGGATTTGTCACTGACGAGTATAATATTCGTAGCTGCGAGCGGGCGATCAATACGGTCATTCCCCGGCGGCGTAAGTGAAACATCTCTCCCCCAAGGACACTGACACTGAACAGTACCCAGGAAGCAACAAGAATAAATACTCCGCCGATGAAGGATGAGCCGTCCATCCGGAAAGGAAGAAGTCTTGCTAGTCCTGCAAACCAAGAGAAACTATCATCGCCGGTTGCGGTCTCGGCTTCAACGTCGTCGTCTAAACCCAGCAGCAGACGCTCCAGGACTCACAACCACATCGAGGCGGACGCGATGGACTTGGAGAATGCACAGACTCGTTCGACGCGTGCTCGTGTCAACAGCTTGACATTCTCGGGCTTTCAATTCGATCTGCCGCCGCACGAGGCTGACAGCACCTTGTGTCCCGCCCATCCATTGCACCAAGCAACGGATCGGGTGGTCTGTGTTGTGAGTTGCTGCCGTAGTTACTGGTGTTTGATGTCCAAACTGATTGACCTCGATGGACCTACAAGTATCATGGTAGACGGAAAAGCAGCAAAGTGACTGGCGAGACAGCTGTTGGACAGTCAATGGGAATGGCCAAGGATCGCATGTGTTACCCAAAGAACGAGAAGGCTCGGGACAGCCAGTAACAGTAGTTGAATAGCCCTTTTACTTGGGGATTTAAATGATAAGTGAATCGGTTTGATCAATACGGATTCAGAGTTGAGTTGAGAGACAATACTGGGTGCTTGAGGTACTTGTATTGTTCAGTGGTCCGTGCACAGCTCTACTAACCTCCCCCAACCTTGTCCATCTTTGTCCATCAGAATAGCTTCACCACGCCGCGATTTTTCTTCCAGTCTATCCAGCTTGCGCCAAATTCCACCACTCCAGAAGGGCTCCTGCATATAGTCCTACAACTCCTCGAATACAGTTGATTTCAGTCTTGCGGATCGGCAGAGAATTAGGGTGCGGATCTCGGAGCGTCGGGCTTCATTCACCATGGCGGCGTCAGCAGAGAACGATCCGCTCCTGCTGCTTCGCCAGTCCATCGCAGCTGGAAGCTCCATCACCCCGATCGCCTCGCCCGAATCAGGCGCCGAAGTTCCTCTCTCGAAAGCGACGCACTTGCAGTTCTCACAGCCATCGCGTATCGCCATCCCTATAGACTCACAGACGCGCTTCGTCTCGAGCGGCTCGCCTGTCGACTTGCGCTCCATCTACTTCGCGTGGCTGAACCGCGAGGTCGCCATTCCCGACTACAATGCCAGTGCCACCAAGCTCAACGAGGAGCTCGCGGGCGCCGCGGCTGTCCACAAGTTTGCGTTCGTCGAGCGACTCGACCTGATTACCTGGCTCGAGGGCGCGAGCGAGGAGAGTGAATACATCAAACCTCTCGCGGGCGACAAGGACGCCGCGGGTGCTGGTTCTGGCGCGGCGGCTGCTACTACGGCTGCCTCCAAGCCCACAGCAGCGACGGCGCGATCGGGACGTGGTACTCTTGACCCTCGATTGGCGGTGGTTTACAACGGTGAGCGGAGAATGGGAGACCACAACACGGTGTTGAGGGGGACAAAACCCACGGTAGGTCGAGTCAAAAGCTTCACTGTGCTCAAGTTACTGGTGATTAACACGCCGTAGGATTTTTCCGGCATCCGCAAGCTCGCAGCGCCCTTCATGGCAAAGAAGGCCAGCCACCCGGCCGCGGCAATCATCTCGTCCAACCCTTCACTAGCGCTGAACCAGAAGCCGTCGCGACGGCCCGACCCCATCATCCTCCTCTCGCCATCCGCCTCGTCGCTGCTGCGCATGTCGAACATCAAGTCCTTCCTGGAGTCGGGCCGCTACGTCCCGCCAGACAACAGCTCGACCGCGACGATGCTGCACATCCAGCGGACCATGAGGGACATTGACCCGGCGCGGCCGCTGCGGTTCATCCTCGTCGAGGGCCCGGAGCAGTTCAAGCCCGAGTACTGGAACCGCGTCGTGGCCGTCTTCACGACGGGCCAGACGTGGCAGTTCAAGAGCTACAAGTGGAGCCAGCCGCAGGACCTCTTCCGGCACGCGCTGGGCGTGTACGTCGGCTGGCGGGGCGACCCGGCGCCCGAGAACGTGCGCGCCTGGGGCCACGGCGTGCTGCAGACCCAGGTCGAGAAGTGGCGGGACCCGAGCCAGCCGGGCGCCGAGACGGGCAGGTGGCGCGACAGGGAGGTCATGGAGGCCATCTGGAAGGCGATCGAGGCCAACATGAGGTCCAAGGGCTGGAAGCGGGACTCGGGCCCGACGAAGGTATGATGACCTGACGGACCTGGAATCCACACGCGGCACGGGCCCGACTTGCAATTCGAACTGTACATTAGGACAATGCCAAAAGGAATCAGGGGAAGGGGAAGACGACTCGGAGCGAAAACGGCGCAATGGCGTTTTGAGGGTTGACTAGTTTCTCACACACGGAATCTACTCTGAACAACCTTCTGGTGTAATAAGAAAAGCCAAGCTGGCGTATGAGGAGGTCGCGTAGAACTAGACTTTGGATTTAGGCGCATCCGCATGGTATGAGGCGGAATCACTCTTGGCGCTTGCAACGATTGCATACTTTGATTGTCTAAAGTCTTGGTGCTTGCCGTGGTATGTGCCCATATCGTGTTTCCTCCATGCTATCTATGTCGCCGCTCTAGTACATAAACATTATGATAAGTGATCACCTATTGTATACGACTTCCCGTACCAACGTGTTCGCGTGCATGCGGAATCATGGCTCAGATCGCCACATCTGCGGCCTACAGCATGGTCATCACCTTTCCGGATCGGCGACTGCCACGATGGCTCAGCTAAGAGACGTCTGTATGTCCTGTTGCTGAGCCGCCACCCTCTCTCGTGGGGCGGAGTGGCCAATTGGCCAAAATCCCCTCCTTCCTTTTGCTCTTCTGTGTTGGACCCTGCTGCCCACTCTTGCTGGTGCTCTTGGTGCTCCTGGATTTGCTCGCGTCCCGCTTGCTTAAGCGCGAAAGCAGACGTCTCTCCATTGATCATCTGCTGTACCGCAACCTCATGCGTGTGCTTGTCGAGGTGCTTCATGCAGAGATGTCGCCTCCTCCCATGCGGCGTGGGATACTTGCTCAACGGTAACACACTTCTGGAGGCCCCCCTTGAGTTTGCTGCTGCTAGGCTGGGCAGCAAGCGGTGTCCGGTATCAGGTTACGTGGCATGGCAGATTGAACATTCCTTCTGATTGCGTTCTGCTTGGATTCAAGGCGTTTTTCAGGGCAAAGATGGCTCTGTATGCGGCCGGGAGTGGCTTGCGTTGGACATTTGGCGGGTGTGTGTACACTCGCACTCGCCTGATTTCCTGTCTTCTTTGATGCCCTGCTCCGCTTTCCGCAGCCCAGGGCACGGCCCAGTCAGTCGTCGTCATCGCTGTCCTCGTTGCCTCTCCAGCAGAGAATGAAGGAAGCGAGGAGGATCACGAGGCCGACAATGATGCCCGCGTGCCTGTGGTCGCGGCCGTTGCGGCGGCGGCGGTCCTCGCGATGGCGCCGCGGGCTGTCCTCGTAGCGCCGGTCGCGATGGTCGTACTCGTACTCCACCTCTGACGACACGTCGGAGCGGGCGGCCTCTGGCACTCTGGCGAGAGCGTGGCGCCTGAGCGCGACCGCCCGGGAGCCGTAGGGGTCGACCTTATCGTCCTCGGCCGCCCCGTGGTGGCGGTGACGGTGACGGGGACGGCGGTGGGCCGCGTCCCCACCCTGCCCGTGCCGGCGCCGGCCGTCCGACCCTATGTATCCGCTGCTGTGGTCGCTCATTATCTATAAAACCGATACCTTTTCGGGAAACAAGATTGTCTCAACAGTGGCGATGGAAAAGTTGGAGATCTCCATATGTGATGGATGGATTGCTTCCCAAGGTTGTGTTGCGGACAAGGCGGCCCCAATTTAAGTACTCGTGGTTGGTTGTCGCGACACTGGAGAATGCGAACCCGCAAGGCAGCAAGCACTGCCTCCACGAGGTGCAGCACGACGGTGTGAATCACCAGCTCGTCAGGGCGCCACGATCCTGCGTTGCGTCGTCCTGTCGGAAGTCTGCGTCGATCTGAGCCACCACCGTCCCCGCAAAAGCATACAGATGTACTTCCCCCGAGATGTTTTGCATACGTTGCCCGCCAGTCGAAGCACAAGATGGCAAAATGCTCCTTGTTCAGTGGGTGTCAAGGCGACGATGACAAACGCCGAGCTGCTGATTGCCTACATGCGCAGTGAGTATGCCTGCAGTACCGCCTTGCTATCCTATTCATACACTTTGCTCTCTCAATCGTGCAAACGCATTGCAACACTCATCGTTCCAGGCGGCACACTCTTCTCCTGGAACTATGTACTCCCTCATCGTGCGACGCAGCACCCATTCGAACAGTCATGATGCGTCAGTGACATGGCCGAAACACACACACACACACACACACACACAGAGTCAGTAGCCGAAATAATAGCATGTAATGGCATCCTATGGCCGTGGGAAAGGTGACATTGCCGCCATCATTAGCAATGTTACAATTGATGCATTTGCCCAAAACCTGTAGCCCTGGATCACAGAGGTGCAGCCGTTACAATAAGCCAAGCCAACCACCCCCTTGCTCTGAATTGGGCTTTGCTTGAAAGCCCGGCCTCAGATCTCCCGACACCACCGGGCAAGCACGGCGCTCAGCCTCGTCGCGGCGGGGATCTCCTCGAGCGCGACATCGACCTTCCACATCTTGGCCTCGAGCCCGCCCTGGCCCGCGTTGGCGGCGCCGCCGCCGCTGCCGCCGCCCCTACCCCCGGGCCCCGTCGGGACCAGCAGGCCCAGCCCCGCGAGGCGCTCCCACGCCGCGCCCGCGACGCCGCGGCCCCAGACGCGCACGCCGCCCCCGAGGCCCGCCAGCATGCCCGCGCCGGCCGACTGCGCGCGCTGCCGGCCCACGAGCGACGCGTACTCGTCGTAGGCCATGGCCAGGTTGACCGTGTCCGTGTGCGCGACGACGTCGAGGCGCGCCGCCGCGATGAGCAGGCCGAGGTCCAGGTCCGAGAGCGAGCCGAGCAGGTGCAGGTTCGAGTCCGGGGGCGCCAGCGACGGCAGCGCCGCGGAGCCGGGGATCTTGAGCGAGGGCGAGGTGGGCGTCATGCCGGAGAGGGGCAGGATGCAGGTCGCGAGGAAGGATGGCACGGATTTGCTGGTGTAGAAGTGGTACTCGAGGTGGTCCTGGAAGGCGGCGTCGTCCTTGCGCAGGTTTCCGATCTTGGTGGTCCACCATTCGAAAAATTGCTTGTGGCCCTCGAGCTTGGTGTCGATCCCCTCTGTGGCCAGCTCCTCAGCGTCGATACTGAGACCGTGGCGGACAACATCCCAGTAGGCAGGCAAACTCTTAGGCAGGCCGAGGTAGACATATCGGTGGCTGAAGCGACTCTTGACTCTCTTCTCCAGACTCTCGACCACATCTATCCTGGTTGTGAGGCCGAGGACCGCGATGGGGGCCTTCCTTGCTTGTGCAATGTCAAATAGGTTATATAGTAATGTCTGCCTGGCATGTGCAGCAAACAAGTCGAACTCGTCAATGATGAAAACGACAGATTTGGAGGTAACCCCTTGCTCTGCGCCAGACATCTCCGAAGGGTGAGAGAGCAAGGCCAGCAGCGAGGCCAGAGTATCGGCATAGTTGTTTGTCTTAGGTAGGGTCAGCGTGAGGTATCAATTGTGAGGTGATAGTTTGGAGCGACACACCTTGTTCACGAGGTCGTCTTCCACCTCCATCTCTCTACCAAGTTGTCTCCATATCTCCTTGAGGGCAAGCTTATCATCCGTGTGGATAAACCCATTGAGCCTCACTACATGAAACTCCTCCTTGTGGCTTGCAGCAAGGGCCGACACAACAGACTCTACCATCTATGAAATAATCAGCTTTGCATTCTCACTTCACACTGTTCATAGAGGATTGGCGGGCTTACTGTTGTCTTTCCACTGCCCCTGGCCCCAATGACCATCATGGAATTCCCCTCGCCGGCCAGGACTGTCTGTTCAACCAGTTGATAGGTCTTATCATAAGCCTCGCCCTGGCCCCTGAGCTTCATCCGTCGCCTGCCCGTACACCTGTCCAACAGAACTCGCTGCCATGAACGCAAATGGGTATCGAAGTTTGGAATGTCGGGCACCTCATCAGCTGCGGCGGCGGATTTCGAGACAACCGCCGCGCCAGGCTCGGGAGGCGCATAGTCCTCTTGGCTGCAAGTCTTGCAGAGCCAGTCGCCTTCTGGGATCACGGGCACGTGGTAGCACTTTTGATGCACAGCCAGGTCGCAGTTGTCACAGAAGATGATGTCGTTGGACGGGCCCGACTCCGGATCGCCGCACACGGCGCAAGGAGTGTCATCTTCGCCACTCGACTCTTCCTTCTCAGCCTCCAGGATCTTGGGCGGAGCCGGAACGACTTCCTTCTTTCTTGACCTCGGGGACGCTGATGCCTTTCTCTGAGCCGGTGGCTTGGGCGACCTGCCGGTCTTCTTGCCGGGAAGATCGGCAAAGAAGACCTCTTCCGACTTTTTCTTCTTCTCCTTGCTTCCCTGCTCAAAGGCGACGTTCTTTTGCGGCCGGTCACCGGCGCCTTTGTCTTTTCTCGACGGGGTGAGAATCCCCTTGAGCCTGGGCGTTCCGTCGATGACCAGCTCCGCCAACGGGTCTCGCTTCTTGCGCCCCGAGGGTGTCAGCTCGACAGCTCGACGTGGCGTGCCCTCATCTTCGGCCGTGCCTGGGTTCGTCTCTGTCCCGTCCTTCTCGATTGCAGTAGCAGGCAGAGATCTTCTCGTCGATCGTGGCTTTGTCGGTGTGTTGTTGTCATCTTCGAGAGTCGCGGTGGTGTCGGTGAGAACGTTATTCTCGCCGTCTTCGCCGTCGTCGAGGACTTTTCTTTGCGATGACCGGCCCGCCGCCGTCCTCCTTGTACTAGATCCTCGCCCAGATGCGCTCTTCCCACCGCTCCGCTTCGAAGGCGTGGCGGCTGCATCGCCTTCGTCGTCGTCGTCGTCGTCGTCGGATCCCGGCACGTCGTAGACATTTGCCGCGTTGCTGTTCCGGATTGAGCGCCCCACGCCCGCCGTCTTGTCCGTAGAACTGCTACTCTTCTTCGACTGTTCCCGCGCCCTCTCCTCATCAGAGTCGGGGACCTCGTACGACATGTCGACATCGCCACGACCGTCCTCCGCCGCAGCGTGGCCGTTCTTTGGCTTCGCGCCCGCCAATGCGCCCGAGATTGCCGAGGCGATGGCGTTCAGCGTCTTGGGCGTCGAGGGAGACGAGGCGAGTTGCAGCCGGCGCTTCTTGGCCGAGGCAACGGCCAAAGTCTTGCGCCCATCGTCGTACTCTCCGTTTTCCTGGTCGGCATCGTCCTCCCTAGCCCGCTTTCTGCTAGGGGTGGTAGTTGCGGCCATCGCAAAGTCCCTCAGGGCCAGACTGTCTTGTCTGGATCTGGGCTCGAGAAACAGCAATCGTGCGGCCGCTCTGGTAGATGTCAGGAATGCGGCAATGTCTTGGAGAGAAGTCTCGTGCTCGAAAGCTGCAGCTGGTGAATGTACAAATTGACAGCAGCTCAGCAGGTAACTTTAGTGGGCCTAGCACCATGCGAGTCGCCACGACGGCGGTAACTTTACGCGTCGGCTCGTCCCGCTTGACGCGTTCTTACGCGTTTCAATTAAAACCCCTGCTTGGAGTGTGTACCTTAGGTAGTAGGTAGAAGAACAGGCTCATATTAAGGTTCAGATTTCAACGTTATACTGCACCAAGTCATGACTTCACAGCGTATACAGATACTTATTGTGTATTGCACGAGGAGTGATGATATCGGTGGCTGGGTGAACATAGATCTCATTCAAAGTATCTTCAGATGTTCGTTTCATTCTGGCTTCGTGCATGCTAAAGCAATTGGTATCTATCCATCGTCGTCCTCCTCGCCTTCTGGGTATTCTCGTGTACGTGCATGCGACTCCCGAAAAGCCCTCTCTGCGTCCATCGTGCACAGAACAAGCAGGGCTATGTCAGATAAGTGCGACATGTCTCATGTCTTCTAGCTTTTGCCATCTTGGGGCCAATGCAAAAACGCAAGACGCAGGAAATGCCTGATTGAATGCAGTGAACAAAAAAAAAAAAAAAAAAGAAATGTGGTACTTTGCGCTCGGTCTGTTTTTTGGAAGGGAAATTAAAGGAGAGGGAAATAAAAATGGATGCAAAGTCGTAGTGATCCTGTCCTTATAAGACGCGTGACGGATCACAGGTTGATAAGCTCGACATCTGAAAAGTCAGGAGGCGCCCGGCCATATACAACACGGACCTTGCTGTCCAAAGCCGTGCCCTCGTTGCTGATCCAGATGTAGTCGCTCATCTCCCGCGTGCGCATGATCTCGTCATCGCTGACCCCGAGATCATCGCGCGGGATCCACACGGTAGGCCGTCTCGCCCGCAGGGCGTAGTGCTTGAACGCCTGCTTGACGAGCTGGTCCCTCTCCTCCGGCGTCAGGTCCTCGATTTCGTCGTGGTAGCCGCCGTAGAGCGCCTCGCCGATCTTGCGTTGCGCCTCGAGGTCCTTCATCCGGCGCTCTCTGCGGTACTGCGCCGCGGTCTTCAAGTTGCCTCCTGCTTTGCCAAAGGTGGCGTTGCCGACGTGCTTTCCGCTGCGCACAGCCCATGTGCCGGCCTGCTTGATGCCCTTGACCGGGTTCAGCTTGCCCAGCCGATTCGTTCCGGTCCGGCCTTGGTTGTTGAGCTTTCTCATCTCGATATCTGTGTCGGTGGTGACAGCGCTGTTGGCCGCCGTCAGGCTGTTTGCTTCGCCAGCGTCATCGTCGTCCGAGATGAGTCCCAGACGCCGGTCCTGGGCCCTCTGGAACGCTTCGTCACGGATGACCGCCTCATCCTCAAAGGTGATGGGAAGGTATCGGAGCAACGGACCAAAGGACCAGTTCAGCAGGAGCTGGAAGAGAACAGTCAAGAATACGGCAACAATCATGACGATGCCCTGCGGCGCGCTGGCGACGTGATCATACTGGTCTCTGTCGAGGAAGAACAACCCGATCAGGCAAAGCTCCATCACGTAGAGCCCGGTGAACAGCTGATTGATCGCACGCGGGTACAAAACACCACCCGTGTCGTTCTGGAATCGGATCACGTACACCATATTGTAGCGGTGCGCGAACCATAGCAAGCTGAAGGTAATAATGGCGAAGATGGAGATCAGGGGCGCAATAACGGAATAGATGAGCGCGATGCAGGCGAAGTTGGTGTAGACTGGGAAGAAGGATCCCCAGGTGATGTTGGAAAGGTTCGTCTGCCGCGCCCACTTGCTGCGAGCTGTGTTGTCGAAGAGACGCGCCACAACGAACCACACAAGGAGGGTGCCAACTTGGAGCAGGGTGCCGGAGCTAGTCGAGAGAGCTTGCAGAATCATGTAGGAGAAGAAGTAGTTTGCGGCCTTGGGCAAGTTCTTAGCCAGGGTCTCTGGGATACTCTGGATGTTTCCTGCCACCTCTTGCAGCGTTGTGAGCGCACCGGAGGCGATGGAGACAACCAGGAAGACCTGTACAAACAGAAAGGCGAAGTAGTAAATCTGCACCGACTCGGTCTTCTGCGAACCCGTCTTAGCCCCCGCGAACGACGCCAGGAAACCGAAGATGATGGGCACGAGCGCCAGGAGAATGGACAGCAGAAGAGCGGGCAGGACACCTGCGACGGCCTTGGCGACATCATAGACAGTCGGATTCCTCCCAAGGAAGCCCAGCCAAGGGTAATGCTTGATCAACGAGTCAATCTGCGACAGGCCTGAGGTGAAGGCGACGGGGAACGCCCAAAGAATGATCATGCCCACCACAACACCGATGCTGATGAAGGTCCTGAGCCACGCATCCCACCACTTCACAGCCATGTTGTCCCAGAGAACGTCATTGGGCGAGATCTCCACGACACGAGGGGCCATTTGCCTGGGGATGTGGTGAGTGACGCTCTGGCACGCCATATGAGCAGCAACCTGGTGGTTGAATTGGATGAAGGCGGAATTCATGATGGGATAGCGTTCCGGGTGCTGCTGGTCCTCTTCGATCTCCATGTTGAGCTGAGCGAGCTCCTTTCGGCACCAATAGATGGTGTCCACTTTCTTGTGAATCCCTGGGAGGCCTGGCAGCCATGACGGAGTGAAGTCGAAGAGCGGGAGCCTGTGCGTGGGGCGGTCTGACTCCTTAAGCCATTTCCTCCATTCGGCACCTTCTTCCTTGTCGTCATCGCTGTGGTCCGGGTTGATTGCAGTAGGGTAGTCCACGGGCGGTTCCTCATCGTCGCCGCCCACGAAGGGGATGGCAGACTTGATCTTTGCCCAGAGGGACTTTTTCTCCTCGTGAGCAACCTCCTTGTCGATGAAAGGATACTCGTCGCCCTCTAAGCCCTGGGGTACGGGGGATGCGTAGGCACCCGACGGGGGCTTCCAGAATTGCCACCACTTGCTCTCCTCAGTGACAAGCACGTCGTCCCAGTTGTCCACCTTCCTTGTGGTGTTGGTATGGTTGCGAATGTCAGTATTGGTCCTGCTCGGGTGGCCAAAGTCGACCGAGCCGGCGGAGGTCGATGGCGCACGACTGCTCCGGCCGGCTTCCGATGCAAAAGACACCTTTGGAGGGTCCGTATCATCGGCCATATGAACAGTCTTCTTGGGGCGCTCAGCATCTCGGGTCTGAGGTCTCGCAGAGGGACCGGTCGGACCCTGGTCGGGAATGTACTCAAAGCCGCCAGTGCGTTCCAATTCCTTGTCGACACCACCCCCGATCTGCTTCGCACCGCCGAGGATGCCTTTGCCGGCCTTGCCAAAGAGCCCAACACCGCCCTTGAGGCCGTGACCGACTTTGGCAAGCCCGCCTTCAAGGCCGCCACGGGATTCAGTCTTGCCGAGTTCGAGATCGTCGGTACTATCGACTCCCCCGAACCCATCGTCCTTAACATCATCTAGTTGTTGGACGTCTTCGTGATCGCCAGCACTAAGGCCTCCAGAGGCGGCAGCGCGTCGCTGGGCGGCCGCATCCTCATCGCGCTGGCGCTGTTCCCTCTCCGCCTTGGTGAGGTTCCGCGTCTTGTGCTCTTTGCGGGCCTTCTTTTCTTCGGCTGCGCGGACCTTGAGCTGTTTCTTCTTGGCGTTCCGGATCAGCTCCGTCTGCGCGCCCTCCAGCTGTTTGTGGACAGCATCGCGCTTGTGAACCTTGTCGAGCAGCTTGCTGAAATCGCGTGTGAGCCAGATATTTCTAATACCTCCTGGGAACACGTCAAAAAGCCCTCGCAATGCCTCTTCCGACAGCCACTTGTCAGGGATGGAGCTGACCAGCACTGTGTTGGCCGAGGCCCGCAGGCGATGTTCGGCGCTGGTTAGATAATCCTGTCGGACTTTGATGTAGACACGCATCTCGGTGAAACAGATGCAGCAGACCCAGAGAATGACGCCTAATGCGAGGATCAGGTGCGCCCACCGGCGACTGAGCTTGTCTGGCTTGACATTGCCCCAAGCCAGGGTGTCGAGGCCAGTGACGGCATTTGGGTCCTTGTTGTTGGTAAGTTTGGTATCGACAGAGTTGCCCTTGCCTCCCACAAAGTTGATGGGAACCAAGATGGGGATGACGACAAAGGCGATGGGGACGAAGATGAAGAGGAGGGTTTGCAGGTACCGCAAGAAGAAGAAGGCATCCAGGCCACACTTCTTGATGATTTCGCGGTCTCTGAATCGGAGTAGGTTATGCAGCAGGCTCCACGGACTTGCAGGAGGAGGTTCGGTGCGTTCCCGCTCAGGTACTAGGTATGACTTTGGTTTGCTACACGCAGGTGGTCAGAAGAAGACATATGCCTTAGGAAAGGGGGTTCGAGGCCTACAAGATTCTCGCCAACTTGTTCCTCAACAACAGGAATATGCTGATTTGTACACCAAAGATGATCAACGATGTGCCCAGCGCCGTGAGAAAGGCGACCAGGCTGATTCCAGCGGAGCTTTGTCCTACGCCGCTCCCGGCTGAGTCGGCCGAGGACGTCGTCGCCGCCGGGGCAGCGCTTGTTGTAGAAGACATGGTGCCAGCGTTGCGCTCTGGGGACGATGGCGGGTTGTGGCCGTCGCGATTTCGAACCTGAGGACTTGGTGGTTCAATTTGGGCTTATAGTCGAGGGGCAAGCGCCCAGCGTATGGTCGGCCGCACAGTCACAGACTATGGCCGTACTGTCGCGTGAATCACCGAGATACCGCAAGTTATGACTAGAAACGGGTCAGATTCATTCCCAGTTCACCGAGACGCCTGTGTTGTGATTCCGGGGTCGAAGAGGCCGCCAGACTGGCTCAGGCGGTGATGGTCGTCCTGACCGTTTGGGGTGTTATAAGGGTCGTATAAGATAGCCCAACTATATGCTGAACAGAGAATGACCTACCGAGAAACCGGGGCAGGATGCTGCTGGCCGGGTATTTGTCCTGACTGGCCTTTGTGCGTCCTATGAAAGGGGCCATTCCCGTGCTGAGCCTAAAGGAGAGTCGATGCGCGCGTGTGCGGGAAAGCGAAGTGTTTCAAAACCGGATCTTTGGATGGCGGCAGCGACCCCTTGACTGGCAGATTAATTGGGTGTGACTTCACTGACGTAGGCGGCTTTAGCGCTGCGGACCAATGCGACCAGGGGTGGGGACGCTGCGATTGGCCCGCCTTTGGGGCGGAGATGGCCCCCTGAAATCTGAAATCTTGGCTTCCTCCCACCGAACCAACATTTGCGTGGTCGCGGTCGCGGTCGTCGGGCCAGATCAACAACGCCCGTACGTACCGTACCGGCATGCGTTGCGAGCTGAACCCTTTAACCGCCTGCCAGTTTCAGAGCTGATCTACGGAGTACAGGTACCTAACATTACGAAGTGCACTCTCAGCTCCTCGTCCGTGCGGAACATTGAACCGATTGTAACAGAGAGCCTTGCTAGCTATCACCTGTGATAACAGCAACAGCAGATTAATACGCACCTCTCCCTGTCTAAGGTACCTACGCCAAACGTCATACTACCTACAAGTAGTAAGACAGGTCCGATCGGGGCTACCTAAAGTCGACGCAAAGCACGCGCATGTCCTTCAGAGTCACGGCATGCCAACAGGCCGTCCACAGTGGACAGTGGGACGGCGGGCCCACCCTTTTGACCCATCCACGCCGTCCTGCCCGTCGCGCTCAGCAAAAGGTTCCGAGGCTTGCATGCCTCTCTTCCTGCGCTGTTGCGTCACCAAAGCCCGCTAATGCCCACTATGGACTTGCTCGCGATGGGGCAGACACCCTCTCCTCCTTGCCAGCCAATGGAAACGTAGGCACTTTACCTGGCGAGGTTTGCAGATCGTACACGCGTATTCGCAGGCTCGCAGCATGGCTCGAGACGATCGGTGACGATGGCGATCAGGCAGGATTTTGATAGGTGACAGCGGAAGCTAGGAGCTGAAATGGCATTTGATGATGGCACCCATACTGATAGGCGCCAGTAGATACTCAAGTCGTAGCACCACGTTCATAAGACGCTTTCACTCTACACCCTTTACCTAGCACAAGGTTCATCGAAGTCTCTTCCTCTCGTTTCTACTTGCTATCACTAGTTACGAGACTCGGAGAGGCGATCGCTGATGCCGCCCGTTGGACCATTTAAATCACCACAATGGCTCAGTAGAGTACTTGGGCGTGGATGAATCTCTTATCCAACCCAGGAAGAGCAGCTGGTGTGCTCAAGGAAGCCATGCGGACCCTGCTGCAACACGACCGTTGCAACAAAGGGACCCCGGAACTGATCGAATCGATCCTGAATCCCAGCGTTCCTGATCGGTGTAACGCCTGCTGACGCGGGGAGGACATGGGATGGATGGTCTGGACCCCAATTGAGAGTAACAAAGGCCGTGGGCGTGCACGGACCACACAGAGTTCTGGAGAGCCGGAACCGGGTTCACCGTTGAGCTGTCTCGACGGATTGATGTTGGCCCAACCGCCAGAAACCAAATCGCGGCAAAATTGTTTCTCCAATTTGCTTCCCAAAGCTCCAACTGCCACTTCCCCGCGCCCACCCCACACTCCCGAGCCCATTTGCCCATTCGGTCCCCCCCTCACGCTGGCCAGTCTGTCGCCCACACAATGCGGACGGCGCTGTCGGCTCTTGTTCTGGACGCCGTGACGAGTTCCTGGGAGAATGGGTATTTTGGAGAGGGCTGAGTCTCACATATATTGTTGTTTGCCTTCTGTCAATTGACTCTTGGGAGGCCTTTGTTGTCCCGTCGTGCTTCACCAAACAACTGCCGAGCCCTATCCTGATCTCGAAGTTTGAGAGCTTCCCGTGTGCATCTTCTGTGTTCGACAGCTTCTCCCGCTCTGCCCACGATGTCCGACGTTCGGGATTTGCACATTATCGTTGTAGGGTGTGGTATGTACAAAGCCCGCGTTGCACCAGGAACCCTCTACCTCACGGGGGGCTAAACCAGAAATGTAGGCATGGGAGGGCTGGGCTGTGCGCTGTCACTGGCCAAGAACGGTTTCAAGAACGTCCACGTCTACGAGAACGCCCCGGGCCTGGGGTTCGTCGGTGCTGGGATCCAGATGGCCCCTAACATGGCCCGGATCCTGGACCGGCTCGGCTGCTGGGACGCAATCGAGAAGGAGGCGACCAATGTCAAGGAGACGAGCATCAGGCGTATGTGCCCCCGTTTTCCCTCCTCGGCATTCGACTGGACGAGAGTCGCACATGTTCTAACCTAGCCGACAACACACAGAGGGAAGCACAAACGAGGAGCTCGCACACGTCCAGATGCCCGACATCCGGGCCAAGTACGGCTACCCCCACTGCACCGGCCACCGGGCGTCGCTCGCCGGCGAGATGTACAACGGCTGCAAGAACGAGCCGGGCATCAGGTTCCACTTTGGCACGACCCTCGTCAGCGTCGACAGCTTCTCGCCCAAGGCCAAGGTGACGATGAAGCCGCTGAACGGGCCCGACTTTGCGGTCGAGGCCGACGTCGTCATCGGCGGCGACGGCATCAAGTCCATCACCCGCGACAGCATGCTGAGCAGGCTGGGCCTCAAGGCGGAGGAGTTCGAGACGGGCCAGGCCGCGTACCGCATCATGCTCACGCGCGAGCAGATGTCGACGGACCCGGAGCTGCTCGCGCTCCTGGACAGCGACCTGGTGGTGCGCTGGATCGGCGAGCAGCGGCACATCATCGCCTACCCGGTCGCCAACAAGACCATCTACAACCTGTCGTCGGCGCAGCCCGACACCAAGTTCGCCGCCGCCCCGACGGCGACCTGGACCACCTTCGGCTCCAAGGAGGCCATGCTCGAGGTCTACGGCGACTTCTGCCCGCTCGTGCACAAGATGCTCGGCATGGTGCCCGAGGGCGAGGTCTGCGAGTGGCGCCTGCGCCAGCACAAGCCGCTGCCGACCTGGGTGCACGGCGGCGTCGCCCTGCTCGGCGACGCCTGCCACCCGACCCTGCCGCACCTGAGCCAGGGCGCCGCCATGGCCATCGAGGACGGCGCCGTCATCGCCGAGGTGCTGGGCCGCGCCCGCAGCGCCGACCCGGCCGAGGTCCACCGCTGCCTCAAGGTCTACGAGCTGCTGCGCAAGGAGCGCACCTCGGAGCTCGTCGACCTCGCCTACCAGTCCGGCCGCGCGCTGCACCTCGGCGAGGGCAAGGCCAAGGAGGAGCGCGACAAGCAGTTTGCCGCCTTCAAGGAGAACAAGGCGTCCATCCCGGACAAGTGGGCGTCCCCGGACGTGCAGAACATGATCTACTCGCACGACTGCGTCGCGCACGCGCGCCAGAACTTTGACGACCTGTACAAGTCGATAGCAGCCAAATTGTAAATGTTTTTTTCTTCTTCTTTTTGTATCTATTGCATCATCGCGGGTTAGGAATATCTAGGACAAAGTCAAATGAGAAAGACTGTCAAAGGGCAGGAGCCACTGTTGAAAAGACAAAGTAGATTAAGAGCATTTCAGTGGTTGCTCGGGCACCAAAGTCAACTAGGTAGGTACAGGTATAAGTGGTATCTTTGGAGCCGTGCCAGACAGCAGGGGAGAAAATGCATGCATGCGAGTGCTTCCGACTGATGCGCCTCCTTTCAAACGCCAGATCCATTCCAAACAAAGATTGTAAAAGAGAACCAACCGAAGACCGTTCCTGCGATTGCTCCGCTCGATAGCGACGACTGGATCCCATCCAGCGTCGGCATGTCCATGTGCCTCTTGCACACGCTCCGTCTGAGCCTGCGTGCTTCAAAGCCAGGTCGTGTCTTTTACCATCCGAGACCGGCATCCCTGGACTCTCTCAGCCCCCCCCTTTCAGAACCTTTAGAAGAGCAAGCAGTCGAGACAGCAGCAGCACGCCAGCGTGGCCAGCATGGCCTCTATGCAGCCGGGGCCCTGACGTCGGTCTTGGTAATAGCCCTGCTGCTGCTGCTGGTAATATTGTCCCTGCGGCGGGCCGTAGCCTTGCTGCTGAGGGTAGTAGCCCATCTGAGGGCCGGGCTGGTAGTAGGCGCCCTGTTGTGGTTGTTGTTGTTGTTGGTAAGGACCCTGCTGCGGGTAGTACCCCTGGTTGGCGGGGCCGCCGCCGCCGCCGCCGTGGTAAGCGGCCTGCGGCTGTTGGGGGCCGGGGTACGCCGGCGGCTCTTCGTACTTGTTTGCCATTGCGACGGGCGGGATGGGTGATGCGCCTGTCGAAGCGGTGGTCGGGAGCGATGAGAGGTCTGATGTTCTCAAGTCGAGATTAGGCTGGTCCGGTATGTGTAGCTTGGGGAGTCGAGATCGTGCCGTGAATGGAGTGAGAAAGGGAGAGAGCGCGCGCAGATCGGTGTCGAGAGAGGTACTGGCAAGGGGTCGAGATGATGGAAGAGAACTCAATCGGTCGTGCAGAGACGGCTGTAATTAAGAGGCAATCGGCTGACTCGGCGTCGCTCGGGGTGGGGGATTACGAAGAAAGTGTTCCTGACGCTTTGCGATGGGTGGCGGAGTTTAATTTTGCTCGTTTGTCTTGGCCTGACGGGTAGCGGCGTGGGAAGGTTTGAAGCTATTAATATCGCCTGACGAAGTTCGCCTCGGTTACTCGAACGAGGCCCCCGTCCTCTGGAATAGTCGCGAACAGATGCGACCCACGAAAAATTGTCGAATTATGAGGTTCGTTTATTTATTGAGGAGAAGAAATTGAGAAAAGGGACTGAAGAGAAAGGAGGAGGGCGGCGAAGGAAAGGCCAACAAGGACAAAACTGTATCTGTGTCAGGTCACACGCACTCCAGCATCACCGGAAGCGCTAGGAATTCCCCTTTGCGAGACGGCGCCTTACGGAGTTACAGTGGCCTTCCAGCGCCACGACCACGGCTTGGAAGCTTGCGCGTTCACTCTTGGAGGGCTGCGCCACCGGGCCTCGTCCTTCTGGAACGTCCTGGCGGGTGCGTCGAGGGCTTTGATTGGCCGAGATGAGCGCCGGTCTTCGGTGATCCACAGCGTCCATCGCCCAATCGATTCGTTACTGTCGTCGCCAATACGTTGCAGCTACTCCCGTGCATGTGCCGGGTCCGATATTGAGATCTAACGGGCTTGCAGACATCTCAAGGCTTGGTCCTAACGTCGGCCCCTCTGCGAAGCACGACGGCACGCTCTGGGGAGCCAGGAAAAGAAGGAGAGTAGCGACATCGCTCCCCTTCGAGATCCCGTATCAAGCCGCCAGAAGGAGAGTCAAGCGACAGAATCGCGGCCGGCCTGCAGGCTGGAAGCTGTCTTGGAGACCGTCACGACCAGACTATCTCCCGGTGCCCAGCCATCCGCCGAGCTCCAATCGCCGTCGTCGACCCTTAGTCCGCCTTCATGTCAGCCCTACTGGAGTCAACACCATCGGCCTGCTCTAGGTCAAAACTAACACATCCTCAAGGTTCAAGGCTTTCTGCTGGCCACTTTCCTGTGCTTGGGATTCGGTGATTGTAGAGCCATGGCCGAGTCTCTGCACTTCTCCGAGGCCGAAGCTGCGAAGCTCGAGCCTCACCTCCCTCACCGGACTGGAGAACCTCATGGGGTATCACACCCATCCCGCCCATTTGTTACTCTCACATTCGCCACGTCCCTGGACTCCTCCTTAGCGCTAGCTCCGGGGACTCGCACAGTCCTTTCGGGGCCCCAGTCCAAGGCGATGACGCACTTTCTTCGCAGCCGGCATGATGCCATCCTTGTTGGCGTGGGTACTGCGGTTGCGGACGACCCGGGCCTGAACTGCCGGCTCGAATCGGCTCGGCAGCTAGATCAGCAGCCCCGGCCCATCGTCGTTGACCCTCACGGCCGCTGGGACTTCTCGGAAGACAGCAAAGTGCTGCAGCTGGTCAGACGGGGCCTAGGACTGGCCCCGTATGTTGTGACCTCGGTCCAGCAGCCGCCCTTGGAGAAGCGTGAGATGCTCCAAAGGCATGGCGGGAAGTATATTGTTCTCGATAAAGGAAGTCCAGCAGGGCAAACCTCAAGAGCGCGCTTCCGCTGGGAAGATATCCTACTGGCAATACAACGAGAAGGCCTGCAGAGCGTGATGATTGAGGGCGGCGGACAAATCATCAATTCTTTGCTTGATGCGGCCAATAGCGACCTCGTGGACTCGGTCATTGTCACCATCGCCCCGACGTGGCTGGGGCAGGGCGGTGTGGTCGTCTCACCTAATCGGTCATTCGATGTAGAAGGACGCCCACAAGCTGCCGTAAGGCTCGCAGGCGCGAGCTGGCATCAGCTCGGCGAAGATGTTGTGCTCTGCGGGAAGATTAAGAGATAGAATTCTTGCAGACAGAGAGAAAAGACAATGCCTTTGTTGTTGGCCTAGTCCACAAACACTCACACTCGTTGCCTGACACCCGGGAGCAATAGAACTTTGGACTTGGTGCTCAAGATTGTGATATCTAGGTACCTAGCTACATACCCTCCTTCTCTTGGCCATTACAGCCTGTAATTCAAACCCACAGTTCATTGGATTTACTGGCCTGAATGTGAAGAGCGATATTAAATGAGATGGCAACACCAATGGATCAATCCCGGTCGATGCAGGCGGCCGGCACTTCTCAACCTCCAGCTTGGAGCCCTGGAACCTACCTAAAGTGCCTACCCGTATGAGGTACCTAACACCCCAATCCTCAGCAGCCCGGAGGTGGATCCCACCCGCTAAGGTCGTGGCATCTGGCCCCTAGAGCACACTAAGCTTTAGTGTGCCGTAGGCAATGCAGAGGCCGTGATCCCGCCCCGCGCTTCCAGAACGATGATGAAACAGAAGTCCATTTCAGGCATGCAGAATGCTTGAAGCCAAGTTGCCCCGCCGCCAAGCAACCTGCAACACAGCCAAAGCCGCATTGGCATCGATCGGTTCTCCTCCGTCTAATCCTCACCGTCACACCCACACTCCTCTCTCCCCGTTCTGCAGCACCGGACAAGCTATAGCTACCAGCACTTCCATGCCGCCCCTTTCTGCGCGGCTCCAGCACACATCGGAGCCCCCGTCTTGCTACAGCCCATAGTCGACTGGCCGCAGCCTCTACTCGCTCGCTCGGCCTCGTACCGTCAAGCGCTCCCGGAGCTCCAAGACGCTGCCGAACCTTCAAGAGCTCCTCCCACCACCCTAGGACCGTTGTTGCGACAGCCGCTCGTGCCTGGGCGGTTGTCCACTCCCGCCGCCAAGATGGGTGTCTCGATCATCCAAGAACAGCACGACGGTATGGCCACCAGGTCCTTAACCCCCCGTTTGCCTCAACTCCGATGGCAGCTTGCATTAGGAAATAGACCGAGCTGACATCTCAACTCGCGCCGCAGTGATCCTCGACACCATCAAGAACATCGCCCGAAATGACGTGAGCTCCCACCACCGCCACTTGCGCTCCCTTCACTACCCCGAACTCAATACACGACGAGGGCAACTGGGAAACTGACATCCAATCTGGCTATGTGCAGTGGAAAGTCCTCGTCGTAGACGAGGCTGCCAAGAAGATCATCGACAATGTTCTCAAGGAGGATGAGCTGCTCAACCAGAACATCGCCAGTATGTGCTCCCTGAGACAGGCCACCACACTGACGTGTGCCAATGTGCTGAATACCACATAGACATCGAGCGCATCGAAGACAGAAGAGACATGAACCCTACCATGGACGCCATCTATGTCCTCTCCCCTCAGCCCCATGTCGTCGACTGCCTCGTCGCGGACCTCGATCGGCGTAGGTACAAGAGTGCCTTCTTGGTGTGGACTGCGGTCCTCGACCCTCAAGTGCGCAGGAGGATCGATGCCTCTCCGGCAGCGCGACAGCAAATAGCTGGCTTTGAGACCTTATCCGTTGACTTCTTCCCCCGGGAGGCCCAGGTCATCACCTTTAGAGACCCCTGGAGCTTCCCCATACTCTATCACCCGGCGTGTAATAATCTAGTCAGAGCGCATATGTCAATATTGGCACAAAAGGTCTGCTTGCGCCTTGTCCCCAAGGGCTTGTACCGGAACCTCGCTGACTTCGCCTTAAGATCACCGATATCTGCATATCGCTTGGCGAGTATCCCAAGGTCAGGTACTACCGACCGGCGAATCCATCTCACGAGGCAAGCGTGCTGTGTTCCCACCTGGCTCGTTTCGTACAGGAGGAACTCGATCAATACGCCCAGTGGAATAAAAACTTCCCGCCACCTTCGTCAAGACCTCCAGGCGTGCTCATGATAGCCGATCGTTCGATGGATATCATGGCACCCCTGGTACACGAGTTTACATACCAGGCTATGGCGCACGACCTGCTGCCCATCAAGGAGGGCGACAAGGTCACCTTTCATATGAAGATCAATGAGGGCGCCATAAATGCCCAGGAGAAGGACATGGAGCTGCAAGAGAAAGACTCAGTCTGGGTCGACAACCGACATCGGCACATGAAGGACACGATCGACAAATTGATGGAGGACTTCCGCAAGTTTATCGAGAAGAATCCCCATTTTTCGAACGACAATCCCGACACCACGAGTCTCAACGCCATCAAGGACATGTTGGCAGGCTTGCCACAGTTCCAAGAGATGAAGGAGGCCTACTCCTTGCACCTTAGCATGGCACAGGAGTGTATGAACGCCTTTGAGAACAGGAAACTCCCTGATGTGGCCTCGGTGGAGCAGACTCTCGTGACGGGGCTCGATGAGGATTATCGAAAACCCAAGAACGTGCTGGATCAGGTAGTCCGGCTACTGGACGACGAGGCGATCATCCCAAGCGACAGGCTGCGCCTGATCATGCTATACATCCTATACCGAGAGGGAGTCATCCCGGAAGACATCAACAGGCTGCTGGCGCACGCCTCTCTCCCGCCTCAGAATGGCGAAATAATATCAAACCTCGAGCTGCTCGGGGGCCGCATCAACCGGGGCCTCAAGGAACAGCGACCCAACCTGCCCCCCCTCTTCCCCATCGACACAAAGGCAGCGTCGCAGAGCGAGGAGTACGCGCTCTCGCGCTTCGAGACGGCCGTCAAGCACATGCTCGACCACCTCTGCCGCGGCACCCTCGACCAGACCGTCTTCCCCTACGTCAAGCCCCCGCTGGACCCCAACGAGGACGCCGCGCTCGCCAGCCAGGGGTCCCTCCGCGCCGCCAAGCCCAGCTGGGCCGGCGCGGGCCGGCGCGTCGTCGAGAACCGGCAGCGCGTCATCGTCTTCATGGCCGGCGGCGCCACGTACTCGGAGTCGCGCGCCTGCTACGAGGCCTCGGCGCGCCACAACCGCGACGTCTTCCTCGCCACGAGCCACATGCTCACGCCCGCCCTCTTCGTGCGCCAGGTCGGCGACCTGTCGGTCGACAAGCGCAGGCTCGACCTGCCCATGGAGCGGCCCAAGCCCAAGGCCCCGGCCCACCTGTTTGAGCGGGAGCGGCCTCCCCCGCAGCAGCAGCAGCAGCAGGGGCTGCCGGCCGGGCCGGGGGCGACGGGTGGCCTGCCGCCGAGCGCGTCTCAGCAGCGCATGCCGAGGGGCCCCGCGCCTCCCGGGGGCGGAGGCGGCATCCCCAGCGGGCCCAGGCCGGGAGGCGCAGCGGCCGTGGCTCCGCCGACGGCCCAGATGGGCAGCATGTCGCTCAACGGCGGCGGCGGGAGTGCCCGGCCTCCGCCTCCGGCCCACGGCGACGGCAAGCTCCACAAGGCCGACAAGGACAAGAAGAAGCGCAATATCTTTGGATTGAAAAAGTGATCGGACATGGGATACATTGCATGTGTTCTGTCTGGACGAGAGATGATGATGGCAGGTTTTGCTTGACCCTACCTACCCTTGCGCCGACGGGGGGGGAGGCTTTTTCTCCATCTCTTTGATTTGGCGCCCCTTTTTGTATCTTTTGCGCGTGCTCGCAGCTTTTTTGGTATATACAAGTACATAACATAACATAGCTACTCTTGTCAGGTATAATCGCGGTCTGGTGCTGGTGCTGGGACGTCTGCTTGGGCCAGCTAGCTATCGTGGGGGCATTCGAGCAAGGCGTTTCTAGGAGTCGTTGGTTTTCTTGAATCTACTGGGCGTTCTGAAGGAAAGGCATCGTATGGAGTGTACAGTGCTGTGTGATGAGTGACAAATGTCTCCGCCCCCCCCCCCCCCCCCCCCCCCCCCCCCCACACCACCAACGCC